ACTTTAAAGGGATACTTCAACGAAATTTGAAATATTCCCGTCGTGTTCAAAAATAGGTTGAATATGATCCACAATATCCGTAAAAGACAATCGCACGTTTGTATTTTGAGCCTGGTGGCTGTATTTTTTGTTATAAACGGCCCACTCTGGGCAAGCGCTCGGAGAAGGCCCAGCGGAGACCACGTGACATCCAACGCAATCCTGACGTAGGTCGTCTCAAGACGAGCAAAGCTATGGCGAGGCTGACGTCGAGAGGATGGCCTAGTCGTTCCAGACATCGAAGCGGCTGCTTTTGTACGAATTTTGTGTGACGGGTTAATCTTCTTTAATCTTGTAGGGGGACAATAGCTACTTCTGCGACACACAAAAGGCATTCTCGGGAATAGGGGAGTTCCTCCTTCCCCTCTTCTTTCGTTGTAGCCGGAGGCGAGACGACCTCCGTCACTAGGTGCCAAGGTTCCTAGACGAGCATTACAAACGAGGCGTTAGCGACGTCCACCAGGTGCTCTTTGCTAATCGTTTAATTCGTTTTAAAATTCCTTTTCGAGACTTTTTTAACGAGATATTGGTATGTTCGATCTGATACTGCTTCTTTGAACACATATAGACCAAAAAATGAGCGCCGAAATTTCGTTTTAGTATCCTTTTAAGTCTCTCTCTGTGGAAACAGAGGTCTATCGATAATCGACCAGTGTCATCGTTGGCTAGTTGCCAGACATGTCCCTCAAACCGTAGTATTGTTCCGCGAATCCACGTAAATGCCGTAGTATCAAGCGACCACAAAAAACTACCCGAGTCTGCGGTGACGACCAAGAAACGACGGGAAGGATCAAAAGAACCACACACACACACACACGAGAGCAGCGGCAGCAGTGTTGTCGACCTATCTTTTGCTCGCGAGCGCTCCCTGCGGTGATGACTGGATTTCTTTCGGTTCCCTTCCCTTCTGAAAGTCTCAGGGTTCCTTTTTAGAAAGTCAGCAGCTCACATACAACGTAAATTTACCAGAATCGGAGCCCGTACGAGGGCAAAAAACGTCGCAGTGACCGGTTCATTCGCAAAGTGTGGGGATCTGCGGGATTGCTCGTAGTCCCGCGGTTACGGGGATAATCATAAATATAAAATTGGTACTTTCAACCTTGGTAGCGCGTTGTATATTATGTTTATATTTTATATATAATACATTGTACAATACTGCGCTTTTAAAACATATATTAATGTCGGATAAACGCTCACGAACACCCCGCGCCGCTTGACAAGAAACGTTTTTTTTTTTGTTTTTTTTTCACGTCGATGCCAGAAAGCTTTTTCACGTAGTTGCGCTATGGACTTCCTTCTCCGACATTGTGACGTAACCACTCGGAGCGCTACGGTCTTCTCTTCTAGGAGGTGTTGTCTCAACTCGCGACCCGACGGGGAAGGAGGAGTAGAAGGATGCTGAGTCCTCTGGAAAGATGCCTCGCCATTTTAGGCATGCTGGTCGCTCAACGGTTTTAAAGAACGGTCATCTTTGACACGCTGTACCACGTGCGACGCGTTTGGATCTTGGTCTGACAAACGCCGAAAAAGATCGCAATCTCAAGATGTCCGCTCGAACTGCTGCGCTAGTTTGACAGCACGATCGAGGCTAGGTGGGTTAGCTCCGTCGGACTCTCGAATTAGACTGCACTTCTGTGCTGTGGATCCCCGAAATGAACATCTCCGCGACGCGGCTCTCCAAAGCCTCGGCATAATCGCAGAAGGAAGCTAGGCGTCTGAGCGCCCCAAGATACTCGCTGGACTAGGGTGCCTTCATGTGCGCTTCGCATAGAGTGATGCCAACTGCCTGCTTCCCTTTCCCACACCCTCTTCCACCACCATTTTGTTCCTCTTATTGTTTCCCCGTGCGCCGGAAAGTGGCCCTTGTGTTCATCGGTCCTCCCATCCGAGGGAGAAAATGCTGATCCTCCCTCCGTGGGTTCCATAACGCTGCCCCGAACTTCTGAGATAAGGTGCTTGTTTCCGGGAAGGTTATAAGCCCCACGGATTATCGCCGAGAACCAAAATGGCTGCTGGTTTGTCGGCGAGTGGTAATACAAAGAGTGCCATCACCCTAGCAAAGCGCACATGAAGGCTCCCTAGCCTGGACCTTGTACTCGGTTGATGAACTTCCGAAGCTCAACAATGACGTTCCGAGCGGAAGTGAAATGGGTGCCGAGGGCGGACAACAAAACCTGGAACTCGTCCTGAGTCGCGCTAGCGGGCGAACCTGCCAAGCCGAACGGATCAACGACGCGATTTCCTTCCTCGCCGATAGATGAAAATAAAACCGCCCTCTTCCGTTTCGGCGGCAAATCCTCGGCGTCGATCGCCTCGAGGTAGTTCAGGAAACCGCGCTTCCATGTTTGCAACGGCGCCATCGGCTTGCCGGGCGTGCTGAGAAAATTGGCGGGAACTTTGCACGACGCCATTTCGAACGTCAAAGATAACGCAAAGAGCGAAAAAAAAAAAAAAAATACACGTCCAGTCCGTCGGACGAGAAGTACGACCAACCAACTGCTCGGACCCCCTCAAAAGCGATGCTCAAAAGCAGAGCCGCGACGAAAAGCGGCGAAGTGAAGGCTCAAGGGTGCGAAAGTTCAAAATGCGGTAAAAAAAAAAAAAAAAATTATCCCATCCTCGTCGCCAAAATGTAGTGAATCTCGTCGCCAAAATGTTGAATAAAAGAAAAGCGATCACACTAGTATATAAAAGGAATCGCAAGGCCTGCGTGGGCCTGCGGAAGAAACGCGTTTCTTACATGCCGAAGTGGTGACCGGCGGGCCGGGGGCGTGGGAGCCCCGGAAGGAAGGAGACGTCCGATGGGGTCGGTGGCTGATGGCGTACTCTGTTTATTCAACGGTAAACAACACGGGGGTCGAGCGCCACGGGGACGCGATCCTGACAACACGGGCGCAATGGCGGATAGTGGCGCCATCTAGGTAGTCTGTATAGAACTTGCGAAAATTTAAATCCAACAGTATCCCATTCAAACAATCTAACATTCAGCAAGTAAAAAACAAATTCTACGTACCTCTATTTTACGCAGGTGTCCTTTTCATATATTGTGTGGGTATATGGGTCGCGTTTTTGTTCATCGTCTAATTGTTGCATTTTTGTGGGGGGCCGGCATGGTGAGTATGATGAATAAATAGCATACAGAGCCGTAAATGACTTGCCTGAGACTAGTTTCTTCTAAAGTGATTAGCTTTCTTAGGATCTTCAGGTTGCTTCGAGGTATTTGTTTCCGGCCGTTTATTTTCTCCGCTAAATTTAGCGGGGGAAATCACGTCACGTGACCTATACGCGAATTTCATTGACGTCACGATGTCACGTGACTTCATGTCACGTAACCTGTACACAAATTCAATTTCACCGATAAATTTATCTGAAAAAAAATTGACGTCAGGTGACACGATGAAACATGACCGATACAAAAATTCAGTTTTCCCGCTAGATTTAGCGGAAATATTGAAGTCACGTGACCTCAACACCAATCCAGTTTCCCCACTAAATTTAGCGGGGAAAATAAGCTTACGCGACTTCATGTCATGTGACCTACATACAAATTCAGTTCCCCTGCTTAATTTAGCGGAAAAATTTACGTCCTGTGACCTGAACACCACATGCCTTCATGTGACGTGACCTATACACAAATTCGGTTTTCCAGCTACATTTAGTGAAAAAAATAACGTCACATATCATGTGACCTATGCTCAAATTCAGTTTCCCCGCTAGATTTAGGGAGAAAATTGACTTCACATGATTTCAACTCTAATTCAGTTTCCCCGCTAAATTTAGCGGGGAAAATGACGTCACATGGTTTGATGCACGTGACCTACACACAAATACAATTTACCTGCTAAATTTAGCGGGGAAATTAACTCGTGACGTGTCGCGGCTGCTTCAATTACGTATGCAGATAATCACTTAATTAAATAGCTATAGTTGGGTTATGCCCGAATTTCTTCCTTCCTGAGGAATATTAGACGATGGTACATCACATGCAATTTATTTTATAGACGGGTTCATGGAACAGCACACATACTGATATTTAGGCACTTCAAAATTGCATGGATTTATTAAAAAAAGACAGATATATTGAATTAGGTACACGGATAGTGTTTACAAAAAGCACTACCCCAAAATATTTGAAGGGTACAGTGGGAAACACAGCCTGCTAGAAGCAGTCAGTCGTTAACTTTTTTTCAAAACCGTGATCAGACGTGATTGGGCTCCCTTGCAGCGCGTCGCGCTCAGCTCTCTGGAGCCTCACCCACTGTAACCCGGTGTCTTCCAGTGTTCCCGGTTTGAAGTGCAAGTTTGCAGTTTCTGTGTGTCTGCACGTGGTGTTGGGTAGAGCCGCAATGGATGACCCCTGTAACCTATACATGAAGTCCCTCTCTGTGCACGCTCCCTCGTTCGCCTTGTATGCTGCTTCCATATGAATTTTCGCAGTTTTCAAACGTTCTGCACTGGCAGTGGAGCAGAACAATGCACCCTAAATTTGTTTTCATGGAGGAAGCGCAGCTGCTCCCGGTCGGCTGCAAGTCCGCTACCCCTCTGCGGCTGCGGACGACGCACCGCGGCAGCAAGCATATAACTCTCATGCTGAGGTGTTGTGTTAATGTCCACTTCTTCCTCCGTTTGTACGCTCCCTCCGTTGTCCGTTCAGTTAAGCCGAGGGTTAGGGAACTAGAAGAGGGTTCCCCAACAAGCAGGAAAAGCTTGCAGGGGCATTTGTACAGAACAAAGCCTGCGCATGTGCACGAAGGAACTCCGAGGTCAACATGCATGGTAGCCTTCTTCCCTCCCCTGAGAGCGAACAGAGAATGTTCCCGGCGAAGACAATGCTACCATGTCACCGAGTGTGGGGACGGCTGCCGCCCACATCCTTTTCATGATATGCTCGATGAAAACGGGCGGCCTGTTGTAAAGGTACTCGGGGATTATACTTACAATACGAAGATGACAAGCGCATGTTTTCTTTTTGATAAATTTTATTTCTTTCTGGCAGAAACGTTTGCTATAGAACCGTTAGTAACCCCGGAAGGGACTTCCTGCCATTAGAGTTCTTTAGGTAGAACTTCTACGGAAGCTTCTTTTGTGCCTTCACACCGTTGCTCGCAGTAAGCAGTACATCATACTGGAGCCCTGTAGAATTTCACCCATATTGTCTTCATTATACTAGCCATCGCGTGGCGACATAATTCTGCGGTTTCACATTCTGTAGCCAGGCAGCCGACGTCTGCAGGTCTTCAATTTTTTTGTTTAAGTCCTTCATCAAAAACCGAGTTTGCGAACCTTTCCTAACATAGATAAATTTATTTCCAATTACAAAGCGCTAACTTCCGTGGCAATCTGGTCGCTGTCTAGAACCAACTAACACACAAAGGGAGACGATTGACGTCTCCTAAAGCCCCTGGTAATCGACGCCGATCTGCCGCAGGATCTCGTCCATAAGTACTGCCAACGTTCTGGAGTCCTTGTGTGGCATATCTGGACTTTCCACCAATCCTGCAAAAAAAGAAAGAAAAAGAACCTGGAACATTTAAACAAACTATGGACGCTGAAAGCTTAATAAACGCAGTGCACGGCTGTGTTATGTTCACGCTTATTGCTTCGTGATTGGTTCTTATATGTTCTTATCGGTTAATGCAGCAATCCGATTGGCTGAGGGGGGGTAATGGGATGTTTAAGACGCCCTACGCCCTCGCAAAGGGGTGGGACTTGGCTGCTAATACCGCCCGATGACTTTAGAAAGGGTGTACGGACGGCTAACCTATACACATTCCTAAATGAGTAAAACATTGCGAGTACTTAATAACATCGTCAGGGTGATTTGGCGTCTTATGTATAGACCGTTCCATTAGGGTCATAGCAGAGAGGGTAAAAGAGAAAAAAAATGCACTCCCCCTCTCACCCACATGTCGTCCGCTCCGCCGAGTGGGCTGTAGCTAGCGTCCGGCTGGAGTGCAAACTCTGTTTAAAATCGCGTCCTTTTGGAACTTTCAAGCGCAGATGCGCAGATTCTGGTATGCCAGTTGTCGTGTAATATTATGCTAGATAAAAAGACTCACAGGGTCCAATTGCGCTGTTACCTGCGTGCAAATAAAAAAAAAATAGGAAAAACTGTGTCAGATTGGCCGGTCTCTTTGGCGAAAAGTAAATCCGGTTGCTGTACCTTTTTTACTATGCAAAGTTCGTACTGGTGTAGGCCTTTAGTGACCATGAGTGGAAGTCTGAAATAATAAATAAAACGTTCTCTCCTGCCGCAATACACGCAGTAGTTGAGGGTAGTACTGCCGGCTGACTCAACTGCTATTAAGTAACGGAAAAAAGATATGCTAGTTGATCATTTAGCAAAATAGAACAACTGAGAGCTATAGGCTGATTTTGGAGTAGCCACAACTATTCTAAGAACGCGAACCACTTCACAACGGCAGCCACGAGCGAGAGTTCGATGTTCGGTAGAGCCCGCCGATACAGCCCCAAGATGGAGAACGGCAACCTCCCGGTTTGTCGTGTGCTAGCGGAGTCGGGCGCGTGCCCTCTCTCTCGTTTTACCCCGCCGAACCCGCTGAATTTCCCGGATGTGTGGAGAGGGCGCTGCGGTCGAACAAAATGGTGCCGCCCAGAGAGCGCTAAATGGAATGGTCTATTCCATGAAAACAGATACCAACGGCGTCTCACTGTAACATGAAAAGCGGTGAAGGTTACGGTCCCAGCGAGCCAATCAGCGCGTCCGAAGGAAACACGTGACTGTATACTCTATCTCACCAGTTACGCGCACTTACGTCATAGCCACGGACGAGAAAGGGAGATAAAAGAGAGTGAAAGGAAAGTCGCCTTTGTATACGAATTTGGGGAGACAGAGTAATCTCCGAAGGGGACACAAGCGACGTCTGGAACACAAGAGGATGCCGGGTGAGGGGGGAGTTCCTCCTTCCCCTCTAATCCAACTGCTTGTGTTATGCTCTCGTACTCGTACCTTTGGTGAGGGCTGTCACGTGCTTCACCTTCGTCACTCCGATTGGCTCTAAAGTTTTCTCTGAGCCTGGCTTTAAGGGTTTTCTCTTTGCCAAGTTATGGTTAATTTGAAGTCGAGCAGCAGACATAAAGACCGGGTAGAAGAGAAACGGAACCTGATGTCCCTGTCAGACATGTACACGTTACTAAACAAAAAAATTAAATTAAGTTACAGAGTATTGGCCTCCAAAGTAATTCGGGTTGAGCAGACAACACTCAAATGGAAAGGAATAGAGTAAATTACTAAAATTACTGCAAAAAACTAGCGAACTACTTTGAAGTTACTTTTTTTTTTATGGTAACGATAAAGCACATAGGTTTTGATCCGTTAGCGAAATTCTGGTAACCAAATACAAAGCGGCTTCTGTTTTCACACAAATACTTTAATAGCTTGTTCTGCTTCTGCGTGCCTAATTGTTTTGTACTTTCTTTTTTCTTTTTTTTTTGGGGGGGGGGGGGGGTCAATGGTGTACTGTGGATGTATCATTTCTACGCTAAGGTTTATCACTGACTGAGCTTCATTTTGCAGACAGTGTTTGCCTGTTTACAGTGTTGCGTAAAGTACATCTAAAAGTACTTGAAGTAAAGTACAAAGTAAATAAGGTTATGTACTCCAAGTAAAGTGGTAAGTACACCGGGTGCAGTGTGCTTGAATAAAGTACTATAAATACAATGTGCTTTCAAGATAAAGTACAAGTACTTTTTAAAACAATCTTTTACGATGCCCTTTCATCCCTCATACAGTTTTTTAGAGCGCAGCTCTTAGGCGCCCGTTCCTGGCTTGAGCGGCGTCGCCGTCGCCGTCGCCGTCGGCGTAACCGCGAGTAACCCTCGTAACCCTCGTGAGGGTTACGAAGGTTACGAGGGTTACTTTCACGAGGGCTACCTTCACGAGGGCTAGGAGGGTTACTAACCCTCATAACCATCACGAGGGTTACAAGGGTTAGTTACCCTCAAAAGGGTTGCCCTCACGAGGGTCACGAGGGTTATGAGAGTTACCCTCACGAGGGTCACAAGAGTTACCCTCACAGGGGTTACTAGGGTTACCCCCACGAGGGTCACGATGGTTACCCAGGTCACGTGACCCCCCTCCTGAAGTCACGTGACCCCCTCCCCCCCGAAGTCACGTGACTTCGTTGACGTCATCGCCACTGATGACGCCATCGGCATCCGCATCGTCATCATCACTGATGACGTCATCGGTGACGTCACTGATGACCTCACCAGCATCTGCATCGTCATCATCACTGATGACGTCATCAGTGACGTCACAGATGACGTCACCGGCATCCGCATCGTCATCATCACCGATGACATCATCAGTGACGTCATCGGTATCCGCATCGTCATCGTCAATGATGACGTCATACGTGACGTCATTGGTGACGTCATCGGCATCGTCACGTGACCCCCAGGTCACGTGACCCCCGACGTGACGTGACACCCCAAGGTCACGTGACCCCTACAAGGTCACGTGACCCCCCGAGGTCACAGGACCCCTTCCACCCGAGGTCACTTGACCCACTCCCCAGTACCCTTCCCTCCTCTTCCTCCTCCTCAAGAGCTGCGCTCTAATTCGGCGTTACAGGGAGTTGTAAACGGCTTTCATTTTTTAACTGGTATGCAATGCTTTAAAAGTAATCGAAGGTGCATCGTTTTTTTTTTTCATAAATTGCGGCAAATATTGAAGAAAGTCAAGTCGCCACAGAGTGGTTGTTTTACTCTCGCTGACGAACTATATAACAGAATCAACTTATAAGGTACTTATTTGTGTCGTTCTTATAGCCGCCATTACTTCACTCAAAGAATGACTAGATGACGTTTCGAAAGATGATAGCACGTTTTCACATGACGAGACGCCATTTGTTTTGTTTTCAAATTTGGGGAATGTACTTTGAAGTCGGGAGTTCCACTTTCCTCTAAAAGTAGCAGTAAATTCACTTTAGTGAAGTACAAGTACCGGCTCAGAGAATGCACTTCAGGCAAAGCTCAATTTTTCCAAACCTACTGGAAGTAGTACTTCAAGTACCATGTGTAGTAAATGACGGCCACCCGTGAAAATAAAAAGAAGCGCAGGGCCTACGTGGGCCTGCCGAAAAGACGAGGTCTCACATGACGAAGTGGCGAGGCGAGGACCGGTGGAGCCCAAGGGCGGGAACACCCCGGAAGAGACGACACGTCAGGCGGGGTCGACTTCCAAACATGTACTGATTTATATAACGTTAAACAAACATGGTGGTCAAGCGCCACGGGACGCGACCCTGACAACACGGGCGCAATGATGGATAGTGGCGCCATCTAGGTAGCGTATATGGAAACTGCGAACAATTTGCATTGTTCGCAGATTGCAGGATTGCCGCGAAACGTCAAGATAGAAGAACTACACAAATGCGTCCCTTTCCCGAGTTTTGAGGAATTATGAGCGACACAGGAAGAAATACACAAAATTAAGATGCTCAATACGAAAGAAGGGCGACGTATCATGAATCTGCTAAATCAAGACACGAGCAAACTGGATGAATTTCCGGAACAGATACCACCGTGGGAACGGATACTGGTAGTTCCAGGCACTCCCATTCCCAAGAGCATAGGCCTTGATCACCAGGAAAGAAGATATGCCATAAAACACAACGAAGAAATTGAGCTCATCCGCAATGACCCCGAGTTAGCGATATACTATACGGACGCGGCGGACAGCAACAATAACGCAACGATAGCCTTTCACCTCCTAAACATAGGAACATGGGCATACCCAACAGTCGCAGACACCTCGGAAGAAGCCGAAGCGCAAGCAGTCTTGGCTGCAGTAGAACACGCAAGCAGCAATACAATAGAAAAGAAAAGAATAACAATTTTTACCGATTCACAAGAGGTTATTAGAGCATGTAAGGTACACCATGCGGTAAGCCCGACAATACGAAAAATCCTCAAGGCGGCAATAACGACACCGAAGAAGAAGAATGCAACGATGCTCCTGCGTTGGATCCCGGGACACACGGGGATTAAGGGAAATAAGATTGCCAACAAAGTCGCGAAAGAGTATAGTCGTTCCCTCTTTTCCGACAGACCAGGCCAATCTCAACGAGATCACCCGTACTCTACTGTATTAAAAACGTTTGAGTAAAGAATACGATCCTATAGCTACCATAAATAAGGCAAAGAAACAACTACAGCAACAACTACGAAACAGGCATCCCGAAGAACAGGATCCTATCCCGTCTGGGCTCAAAAGATACCAAACCGTTCTCTTGAGAAGGGTAAGGACAGGAAGTGCTATAACCCCGCACCTCCTCAAGAAATGGGAAACGCAAGCAAAGTTGAGACAGGACCCGAAATTCATACCAAAACCACCAGAGAGTAACTTTTGTAGAGAAAAGATCCCACCAAATATCGATCATCTCCTGTGGGACTGCAAACACTTCAGAAGAGAAAGGGAGGATGCACATGCAACAATAGATCCCAAAGATAAGCCCGAAAACCTTAATGAATGAATAAAACCAGCAAGGGATTCCGGAAGAAGACTTCAACTGCTCAGATCCGTCGTTTCCTACCTGGAGAAAACGGGCCTCAGTAAAACCTTTTGAATTTTTTTTTAAGCCATGCCGTAGAGCAATTGCCTGAGCTTTAATTATGAAAAAAAAAAAAAAATAAATAAACGTATTTCATCATCAACAACACCATGTACTTAAGGTACTTCCCCACTGTTTGTTTATTATTTTTTTATGTAGAAGCCTTGGGGGAATTACTAAGGTTCCTCAAACGATCTTCGAATTTTGAAAGATTTGCATATTCTGAGTTTTGGGAGGGGAGGCAACGCAAAGAGAATGACGCTTTGCGCTGCCCTTTAGCACGCAATTCTTCATGTAGAGCACAAACTACGGGAGCACCAGATGAGCTTCAGAGCGGGTGCTGCATTTTGTTCCCTCCTTTGAATGATGATGCAGTGTGTACACCTTCTGTAGTGGGCGAGAGTTCTACGTTAGGAACAAGCGAGGATATGCCCTTTCTTCGAACGCGTCAAGTCACCTTGACCTTCGGGGCACAAAGAAACACCAGTCTTTGGCTCTAACCCCGCAGTTACTCGGCCTCACTTGCGACGTGTCTGTCCGCTCCCCATGCCTCGTAGCAAACTTGTTGGAGTAAAGGCCTCGTAAAAATTTTAGGGGGTTTCAGACCCTCCAAACCGCCCTCCCCCTCCCTACGCCACAACCTTCCCCCTTTTTTGGAAATATCACCCGATTTTTCAGCTTATATCTTATTGTGCAGGAATGTTTGTTGATAACCAAACCTACCGCTAAAAATTTGAATATAAGTTGTCATTTGAGTAGAAGTTTTTCGGAAAAAAAGTAAATCAAGTAAAATACTAATTACCGAAACAAAAAATGTAACTGAAAGTCACAAAACTACTCAGAAAACTAGTTAAGCTACGGTAGCTCGAGTGGAGCAGTAGAACTACGTAAAAGTCTGGTGCCTGTTCGCCGAGTTAAGGGCGATTCACACACTGGCAACCGAGTCCGATCGAGTGCCAGGGTTGCTATGGCAAGAGCTGCGTCGGCTCCAACAAAACGGAGTAAAAACCGGTTTTGTTGGAGCTGACGCAGCTGTTGCCATAGCAACCCTCGCACCGGAGATGCGTGACACACGTTCGGGTCCGTTCACACACTTGCGTTTGTCTACGGCCGATGAGCCAAGACGGGTTTTTAAAGGGATGGTGAACCGAAATTTGGATTTCTGAAAACAATGCAGGAGCTGTAGGCGGGACGCTACAATCCCTACAGCACTGCTCGTAAGGCGATATCTCGAATGGACGGCCGTATGTTTGGAAAAAGAGGTCAAGATTGAACGAGGCCGACGAGGCGCGTGATGTCAACATATCTCGTTTCCTTCTCTCTTCGCTTTGCCCCCTCGAGGTGGCGAGGCGGAGAAGACGCGAGGCCGTTTTCTCTTCTCCTCGAAGAAACAAGACGTAAACATATCGTCAAATGCGCCTCTTTGTTTTGAAAAATACGGTCATCCGTTCGAGATATCGCTGTATGAGTGATGTCTTGGTGTTTGTAGCATCCCGTTCCACGCTTTTGCCGCGTGTTTTGTGGAATCCAGAATTTCGTTCAGCATCCCTTAAAGCCTGTGGTGACGATTTACGACCGTCTCCGTAGCGGCGCATTCGGTCGTATACGCCGTCGCAAAAGTCTTAAAAACCCATCTTGTCTCAGTACGCGCCCTCTCCGATCGTAAGCAGTCGCAAGCGTGTGAACAAGCCTTTATCGTCTTTCTAAGGACAGAACTATCTTTCGAGGTGGTGGTGGGCCTCACCAGCGAGGATGCAGCGCCTCACTTCGTCCGCCTCGTACCGCAAGCCCGATATGTTGACGTAGTAGGACGGCACCGGGAGGGCTGGAAAGGTGGCGGTCCTCTTGCCACCGGGGGTCTCCATCTCGGTGGGACACCAGAAGGGAAAACCCAACTGCACCCAAGTATATCGTGACGCACGTTAGAAGGAACTTCGTTAAAATTGACTAAAAGCCTACTTTATTTTTTCTGAATCGTCATATTTATTATGTTGCGCAGACGTGCCGCTATAAAGTGGGCGTTTTTCGCTGCAGCACTCTTTTTTTTGTATATTTTCTTATTTAATGTATTCCAAATACTAGTGCTGAATGAAAACTCCTGCCCACTTTGTTGGCCAGCTTCAAAGCAGCCGTTGAAAACGACATTATTTTTCTCGGTAACCACCCAAGCATGAGTTGGCAAATCATAAACCAGTGGCTGGCAATGGCCATTTGGCCAGTGGCCAGAGAATGGCTAACCATTGGCCAATGACTGACCTTTCTCTGGCCATTGGCCAATGGCCACTGGCTATCAGCCCCCGGCAAAGCATTGGCCGATGATTGGACACACTCTAGGTCCACTGGCCAAAGGACCATCGCCAGTCATTGGTCAATTGCTTGGCCAAAATCCGTGCTGCTTGGGCAGCTACCTTCTGACGCACTTCTATGCTCGAAAGAAATAGAATATATATATAAAAAGAAGTGACTCCCAGATTGCACATACGCACAGTAATGTCGCATTAGCAGCCCCTCCCCCCAAACCCCACAGGGATTTCTATAAAATAAAAATCGCCCCTTTCCCCACTATTGCGGCAAAGGCAGTGGAGGCACATAATGTGGTACAGCGTCGAGCTGAATGCGAACGCAGCGCCGCCTTGTTTGGCGCCGCGGGAACTCCCGCATCATAACCCTGGGAACGAGATACACAACGTGCTCAGAGGTAGTTTGTCGAACTGGAACCGAACCCAACCGAACAGAAAACCGGAACATGACCGTTATTTTTAGCCGCACCGGAACTGAACCGAACCAGAACCTTCGCCGCCATCTTGAAACTGAACCGGAACTGAGCCTAGAAAATAGATGACAATAACCGGTTAAAAAAGATTTACAGAAATGTTTTTGTTGATATCATTAAATAAATATTTGAGAATAAAAAAAAAAAAGTCAGGGCTCAGTATTTCTGTGCATAGATAATTTAGTCATACACAAAATTTCAATGTATAAGAAATTGTGGGCTTGCGTAGCGTTTTTGTATTGGCACTATGACCAATCATGTGTCACACGGTCACGGGACGTCATGCTGTCAAGTAATGTCACGTTACGTGGTCCTGTGACGTCACGTGACTTACTACGTCAAGACGATTTAAATTGAGAACGTCGCTAATTTCATTAGCATTGTTGACACTGTGACGTTAATTAAAACGTTTAGAACTACAAGTGTATACGGGAGGGATACCTTAAAAGAAAGATATATAGTGGACAGCCGAAAGTTGGCAGCCGCTCAAAGCTCCACAGGAGTGTCGCTCTCAAGTTAGTTCCCAAGCTTCGACCAACCCCGTATTTCGTTTAAATATCAGTCTTTGAGTGCAAACTATAAGCAAAGGAGCACTACTTGTAACAACTGATAAAATCATAATATTGAATGACCGCCCCAAACGGAAGAGAAAGTTCCACAGGAATAAAAAGTATCCCTTCAAAAAGAAACGGGGAAAAAAAAAAGTTGTTAAGTGTATATAGCAGTTTCGCGATGACGTACGGCAGGCTAATAAAATGTTAGAGCGCACGACTTACAAAGCGCAGAGTTCTAAAGTGAGGGCACAAAACAAGTGCACGTCAAACCGAACATAACATTAGCCACCCGAGGCGGTATTTCGCGAAGTTTTGAGTTCGAACAAGCTGATGACCAAATGTGATTGATGTTAAGCCAGGGTCGCACTGCTTATACAGCACACAAGACAGTGTGCATGCAAGTTCGAAGGCGAGTCATCGCGAGATCCCTGCTTCGAGTGCCGCATTGCAGTGAGTTCAAGGAGAAAGCTTGGCAAGCGGCATTCGATCCACGGATATTGCAGTGATTAGTGTTCGCAAACGATCTTTTCTATGACGTAGGAACATAAGATCTCGGCTTTAGGATTATAAGAATCTACGTCTCTTTTTCGTGTTATTTATGTGCAATTAGGGATATGCTTAAATGTCTAAGTTGTTGTTCATTGTTTTTGTTTTTTGCAGTAAGGCCTTCTGTATTAAATTCTTCAGTAATGAAAGCGGCCTTTGACCTTTTGTAGCACGCTCCGTAGCAGGCAAAATATCGGTTTTGAGCAGCAATTGACGCTTTTGGAGCAGATGCCAAAGTCTGTTAGCACACCACTTGAGAATTAAAAAGTGATTGCTGCGATAGGAATCAACGGCTTCTCTTTGATAGTTGAGCATATTGCTTATTACCGTTTGTAATAAGAATATATATACCGAAAAAGGAACACAGTCTTTTAAATAAAGCTCTAAGCAGAGTAGGTTTCATTTACAACGGGCATTAAAAAATGCTTGAAAAGCTCATCATAGCGGAACACTTCATAAAGATAAATGCTCTCTTCCCTTTAAATTTTACACTCGGTAGTTTGTTTAACCTGTAACTATAATTTCATTTTGTAAAATGCCAGTAAGAATCAGCATGTCCGCTAACACGTCTACCAATTTAATGAACCTACCAAACTCAAGACTAATAAACAATCATGGTTTGTTTTTAAATATTCTGCTAAGTTTAAGAAAAGGAACACCCTATATATATATATATATATATATGCTTTAAATATGACACTGCTCTTTAGCGGTGTGGGAACCAGAGTTATGTCAAAGTTCGCTGCTCTTTCGACCGACAGCTGCAGGGAAACTAGTGACTAACGTATTTATTCAAATATATATAGACCCGTGTTTTCTTCTCTATCTCTGCTCAGTTTTTTTTTATATATAAGAGATTTTCTCACAATCAGGACAAACAAGTTGGACCCGTAATAACCCTGAGCATAATTTGCGTGCCTATCGCGCTAAGCCAGGCGTTCCCCCTGGTCAGTCGCTGCTCCTCGCACTCCGGTGCAAAGCGGTGAAGCTCGACGCACGCGCTCTCATGAGAGGCGGTGAATGTTGACGCGAGCGGCGCAAGTGCCACGGTACCCTGCAGCCACAGAACGAATGCATTTGGCAGACATGATTATCAGTGATCTCATCAGGAGTACAAGGCCCTGACTGTGTTTTATCGCAGTAGCCGCAATCAGCAATCCTTCTATTTGGCAAAATTTTCTCGGGACTCTTAGTTCCTGACATCGCCGACATCGTCTCGAAATTTAGACGATGTCGGCGGTCAACCAGCCAGCGCATAAACCGGCAAAAGCGGCAGATGTCTAGCATCAACGGCTGCGGCGGGTTGATTCGCAGCATAGAGGCACGACATCGTGGCATTCGTCATCTCATTGTACGAGCTCTTTCATCGGCTAAACCGATCAAGCACAGCAAATGTCCCGTGACTTGCGCTTTTAGCATGTGCGTTGGCGAATGTATGTGTTAAAAAATTTGGGGGTTTTACGTGCCAAACCAACGATGGGCATCTGGCACGCCCCAGCGGAGGACTGAGGATTAATTTCGACCACCTGGGGATCTTTTGACGAGCAACCGAAAGCTCGGTTACACGGCGCCTCCTCCGCTAAGCCTCCTTCATATTGCGGGCACCTCGGCCGGGATTCGAAGCCGCCACATGGGGATCCGCAGGCCGGCGCTCTCGCCTCGGAGCCACCGAGGCGGCTGGCGGATGTATGTGTTCGAATTTTTGACTGTGCTCAGACCTAATACGAAACAAACAATACGGTGTGTAGAGATGCTGTGAGATTCGTATTTTAAAAATTTTTATTTCCTTCTATTTCTTTAAATATTCGACAAAAATATTTTTCTTTTGCTTTAAGCCTATTTTGGCGCAGGTGAGGCGCAATTTTAAGCAAAAATGGCATTTGGGCGCAAGATGCAGCAGGCTTTCGTTCTTGGCGCAATTTGGAGCGAATGGCGCAGCACTTCCATCACTCATTCTTTTGAAGAATACATTTATTACCTCTCCCTTTGTGCACATTTTGTGTATATACCTTCAGAAGTATCATGTGAGCGCAAGGTCCTTTTCGGCATATTCCGCAACCCGGTGTTTCACACTGCCGAACAGCGAACGAAAAGCACGTTTCCGCAGATCGGCTCAACAGCTGACGTATTTCCGAGTATCATCCTCCCATGTCGCTCTCAAGCGGTTATGTGAACTTCATACGGTCAAATATATGCATAATAACATTATAAAGAAAGGGCCGATCAGCTTAAAGATTTACACCATACGTAAATCCTCCCCGAATTATGTGAAAGTTGCACTGCAAATAATGAACAAACTTCTTATTTTGAAGCTGATTTAAATAACTCTGTGTTAACCTGACGCATATCTAGCTTGTCAAACATATCGAAGTCTATTATTGCCTGATTTATGTTATGAATAGCAATTTTATGTATCTGTGGGCTGGACAAAAACACAGTATACAGGAACGCGTGGTGGAACTATGACACTTACGCACTGAGACCTTCAGAAAGTGACCAGTTAAGTAGTTGCCACGTTGAAATACTAATTTGTTCTGTTTAACGAAAAAATAATCAATTAGCAAAGTCGATGATTGTTTGATAATTAAATTTACGGGCATTTTGCCAAGAACAAACCTCAACAGCCAGGCTACGCCAGTTTATGCCATATAAGAAAATGTTTAATTGGGTACGCGATAGTATGGGGACATGTCATGGGTACGCGACCGCGCGACATGCTATTGCATGTCATGCTGTTGCGAGATGCAAGAGCATGACACTTCGACTTCTGTGACGTCAATTGTTGCCACCTCGGGACTACTTTTAATGTATGGGCAAGATAGGACGATAAACGCACCATGTCGAAGACGCGCTCCAGGCACCATAACCGATGCGACGTACAACATCGTTGTACGTCGCATCGGTTGGGCGGAGCGACGGGGGGAGCGCGAAGTCAGGAGACAAGCTAACAACTATGGATTGGTTCGTTGGCTCGTGGCGTCCATCGCAAGGGGAAACGAAGTACCTCTATAGCACGCGGCGTCGCCAAGACGGACGTATCTGCCGCTCTGCGGCGACCCTCGTCCAGTTTGAACGTGTTTGCCACTTGGGGCGTGTCGGGAAACCACTAATGATGACGTCATGCACAGGCCTCTGTCGTCTGGGTAGTATTGGTAGAGGGCGTCGCTGGCGTCCTTTTATGTTTCATTGCGTTATGTGACCTGCGGAGAGCAAGTCGTCTGCTTATTGCGCAGAAGTGGCGGTGACGTCAGAACGACGCCGAGCGCTGATTGGCTTTAATTGGAAGGATAGAGACATCAATGCTACGTGCCTCAAAGTCTACCCACTGTTTTTTTTTTTTTTCAACCAGCCAATAAGAGTTGGGCGTTCTGTCGTCCTTGCAATCCCTGAGCTAAAAGCAGACGAACTTATACGCTCCGCATATGCCTCATCTTCGAGCAAGACGTGCGGCTGGCACTCATGTCCAATCAGTGAAGAGACGAGTGCTGTGTCAGCGTTCGGCTGGCATCCCTGTTTTCTGATTCCATCACCGTGCAAAACCCCAAAATATTTTTTGTGTAAAAAAAAAAAAAAAAATGTGGGGGCGTTTTGGGGGGGAGGGGGGGGGGGAAGGGGGGAGAGGAATCTTCTACTGAAGTTAATATCTGACGCGCAAACATGTATGGACTTGCCTTTATGGTTCCTTTTGTGCCCACGATCTCGGCAGTGGTGGGCAGCTTGAGTACGGAAGACGACGCGAAGTTCGCAAGGCGTCCGTTGCTGAATTCCATGGAGACGGCACACGCCTGATCCACACCTGGCAAACAGTGACGTTGTGACCTTGCAAATACTTCCAGAGCGCATATTCTGACGGTGTCATACTTGTAGAATACAATGGTACATCGTCAACATCGTTGTACATCGCAGACATTCCTAGAGATAGGAGAAATGGTGACAAGAATAATAATGAAATTGTACAGCTAGCATAACGTAGACACTGCAAGAGCGGAATGGGTGCCTCCATGACGCAGGAGTAAAATTAACGCACCATATATAGGTCCGGCCATCTCTGCTCTGATGTGCACTGTGTCTGCATGGGTGGGTACTTAAGGCAAGAGGTGATCTCTTAGCAAATATTTTCTCACTGGCAGCCTTTCGTTATTTTTGATGAAAGCCTATGTAGTTGAGTGAACCAGCGGGAAAGACGTACACCTCCCTTTTTAAACTTGCGAGTCGGCCTGTACGTGGTATTACATCACCACCAAAACTGAGGCGGTGAAGGGCCACGACCCTTAAAACAGGGGAGGCAAAATGATCGTTCTCAAGCCAACGAATCGATTAAAGCGAACGTCAGTAATAGCCCCTAATTTCAATCCGAGACCACGCGCAACCAAAATGTCGGCTAAGGCTCCGCCAGATTTTGAACCCAGCCACTGGAGATACATGCACAGACCGCTGCCTCACTTCGTGCCATTGTTGTCTATTGAACTTCAGTTGCGAAGCCCGGTCCTGTTGCGGTTGTGTCTCTTCTTTGTCTGCGTTCACTGAGTTCTTCGTCCCCTTCATATACCACTTTTATAGGCCATTTTTGTTAATGCTTCTGGAAGATGCTTCAAGCATCTTACAAAAGGCGTGAAATTTTGTCTGCTACGTCGCCCTTTGATTAGCCTTGCACAGCAATGCGCCAAGGACGCATTTTGGAGCGCTTGCTCGCGTTTGAGCAAACTAAACTTGGCGTCTAGAGTTTTTTGCCTTACTTTTTTTCTTTTACTTCCACCAAGGATATGCAAGAATGTCTATACTGAGTCACACGCCGCGACTACTTCCCGTCGGCGTTGCTGCACTGAGCCCTAGAGTTTACGCCGAGCTGTCCCTCCGAGTAAGCTCACCCTCTCCTTCAATGACGTCTCCGACGGCCACCACCTTGCGGGGCACGTCCTCGTCGAAGACCCGCGTGATGAGGTTGAGGCAGTAGATGCCCAGCGTGAGCAGCACCGAGCCTCCCAACGACTTCTGGAACACCCTGACCAGGTGCCTCATGTCGTAGCCCGCCGTCGCGTGGATGTAGAGGGGGTCGCCGATGCTGCCGCTCTCGAGCTCCCTGTGGAGCTCCTTGTACATCGGCAGGAAGCGGCTCCAGACACCCTATGGATTGCCGAGTGCTCAGTCAAAAGAGTATTCGGAGAGACACCGAGGGAAAGAGAGAAAGAGAAAGCGAGGGCGTCAGAGCAAAGAGCTCGGATTGGAAGGTTTAGAGGGTAGATGCAAATGTTGGCTGCCTTTGTCTCTACCGCACTCTTCGGACGTGTTCGAACCCTGAACGAGACGACGCTCCTTTTCGCTTTGATTGAAGGAAGAGTTCGAGTCAGAGCTAGGTGCTCTGACGTCCTCGGGCTCTCTGATTTCTCCCTTCTAGTTTACTGGCTCCAAAAAAAAAAAAATATATATATATATATATTCCAGCGTTTCTTTTTTTTAGTTAAATAAGCTACAAGGGTGTTTCCGGATAAAAATAAAATCACAGCGCTTCTTAGTTTAATTGAAAAATAGATAAACTGCGTTATCGCCGTCGAAATGTAGAGCTATCGGTCCAAACCAGATGGCAAAAGACAGTTTTAATGCGGGTCGGCGGTGCGCACACGCAGAACGCAATAGAAGGGCTAGCGTATATTGCATACGTACGCAACGGCGGGGATTTTGCGCTGCGGGCTAGAGGGCTTTCACGGGAAGCTCCCGAGTTATCTCGAGTCCCGCGAGACCACTAGTTTCAAGATGGCGGTTACCTCGACGAAGTTCAATGTTACGCGAAATCACGCGGTGTTCAGTTCGGCAATTCTTTTCGGCGGCCTGCCTCAGTCTAGTCAGACCGCCGTGCAGCTGAAGGAGTGCACAGTGAAAATGCTCGCAGTTCACAATGTGCAGCTATAACATTGTGATCTGCTCAACGCCCCTTCGCCCAGTTCGTCGCCGACGGACGAGCGATTCTCAAAAAAAAATCGCCATCGTCATGCACTCGGCATTAGTATGTCATGAATACCTTCCCGCGATAGCATCGATAAAAGGTGCTGTTTTCACGGTACGATTTGACGGAGGCTTCCGTCAAATCGTACCGTGAAACCGTAGCTAAGTTCGTGATCGAACTTAGCTACGTACTCGTCCCGTATAGCTCCGGGCCTCCGTACTCCGCAGAAAGCGTGCTTGACCAGGCAGCAGCGGCTTGGCGTAATTTGAAATGAAACAATTGGAAACGTTTTCATTTTCAATATTTATTTCGAGGAGCACGATGGCGCTGTAAGCACGTAGAATTGTACGGCTCTGGCAAATTGAACCAAGAAGATCACGCGAGACGTTCACTCGGCAACGTCCACGGAACGCACTACTAAAATCAGTCCGAGCAGGTACCGTAGTTTTTAGCGCACGCCATACTATGGCGTATTGCGTACGCAGGAGCCAGCAAAAATATACTAAAACTGTCCAAAGTTTCTGAAGGAACCTTTATCTTATTTGAAAGTGATAATCGATATTCGGAAATGTTCCATCGGAACATGGCGGCCGACGATGCCAAAGAATGCATCGGGCTCAATGGCGCAGACCTCCGGGAATGGGCCCCCATTGAAGGTTTCGGAAAATCACCTATAACTTTTTAAGGAGCTAATGGTTAGTTATGAAACTTTGGCACCTGGTCTGGACCGCTAGCGCTGCATTTGGGTTACGACTGAGCGTTCAGCAATGCGTATTTTATTTATTAAAAAATTGTATTAAAGGACACGGTGTAAATGTTTTTTTTTTTTTCAATACTGGACTTTATTTTTTCCGCTATGCTATTAAATTAAGCCTAAAATCAGAATGGCTACTGAGAACAGCGCTTGGGTTTTGGCCGGTCGGTTGTTTTCCATACTTTCATGGAACTGCGCTGAGAGAATTACCAATAAATGAGACTTGGAGAGAAAGCCGTGACGGCGTATATTAGAAGCGCTTATGCTTCTATATATCGTGTCATCTTCCTAGTTCAATGGTCGTTTATTGGGGCCGCAGCGCAGTTCAATCAAAACACGAGTAGCTATTGAGAACATGGCAAATGAATGGAAGGCCAAAAACTACATTCAAATTTCCCCGCGCTTTTCAGGGGCATGACGTTACGTGTTGGAAAGCTGGCAAATCGAGTAGGCAGTTAAGAAGAACAAATATGTCGCTTATTATTTTTTTTTAGAGCCGCTGAGTGAGTGCAACACTGAGCCACCACATAATTCCATTCCACACCATATAGAACTTGTAATCAAGTGGGGAGAAGTTCTACTGTCCAGATAGTCAACATCTGCTGATAGTGAACATGTATCGCTATCTGTCGTTACCCCTTCAGTGTTGCCAGTAGAAACTTTGAGTTTAGAAAAGTTCCAATAATATTTGACCTCTCATTTTGGATACCTCTTCCCGCAAAGCCCTTCAGTCACTCTTTCCATTTTCGCAAAGCGAAGGCTGGAGAAATGGCAAGTAGACATTCGCTATACTCTTCGGTTTTCGCTCTGCTAAATTAAAAAGAGGGGATGACGTTTCGGGAAGAACTTGTCGTGCACTCTTAACCTGTCACCGTCACACGAACTTATTAACCACCATATTATACTATAGAAGCTTCATACCAACATTTAACCATCATATGACCATAATATTAACCAGCATATTAACCATCATACCAACGGATGCGGTTCAGCTGCGTCTGTTGCTATGATGGTGCGAAAAAACATCCAGAAATCTTACATGATTCGGAAAATTAGAAAAGAGTTACACGAACGTTCCAGCATCCTTGGCACTGCAGGAGCTCTTATAGCTGAGCACTCAGCGAGAAAGTAGGCGAGATCTCCAACTTTCTCGCCGAGTGTCCAACTTAGGTGCGGCCCTTAGCTTTCCAGGAAGTGCTGGGAATGCAGAGACGTTTTCTTCTCGATGGTGGCACCTACCTCCATGAGAAAGAGACGTTTCTCGGCCGCCAGTCGGATGACTTCCTCCGTCTGCTTGGCATTCATGGTGAGTGGCTTCTCGCAGAGCACGTGCTTGCCGTGCTCCAGCATCAACTTGATGCTGTCCCTGTGATCCGGATGGAGGCTTCCGATGTACGCCACCTCTGCCAGCATAAGCACAAAAGAGGTGCGTCACTTCTATGACTTTCCGCCAGTACCACCTATCCGCAACTGCAGCCCGCCGCTCGCCCTCTCGCGGAACAACGAAGAACAAGAGGTGCGGGGACGGCGGCGGAGACGGTGTGACTGTGAAGGACCCCCGGTGATGCTGTTCTGGTCGGTGTGTTCGTGCATTGTGCAGTTTTCACGGAAAAAGCGAGTGCGTTAATATGGGAATTGTCTGTGGTCCAGGAACCGGGATGTCTAATTTCGTTAGGAACTTTTCCTAGATCGCATACGCTGCCGATTTCGGGCCCTGCGGTCGCCAGCACAATCTGTACTCAACGTGACGGCAAAAGCTCTCTTTAGTAGTGAAAAGCTTTTGCGTAGGATCGAGGAAAAAATTATTGTTTCCAGAAAGTAGGAGAGAACTGTTCGGGCAAGGGGTATATTGACCGATAGACATCGGGAATTGGTTCAGATTTTATACGTAAATAATCTGTAGCAAAAAAAAACAAAAAAACACACTTTGTTTTATGCATTTCCAAAAGTCAGAGTACGCATACCTGCTTTAGTTATTTACAAAGGACAATAAACAAATTCTTGTAGAATTTTTAAGCGCGTCTGTGTGCGGTTCGTGAGGTGTGCTTAGGACGGTCAGTTTTGGCGAGGCAGATTTCGACGATACGAATAATACGGTACACAGGTAATAGGGTACAGAGAGCAACGAATGAAACACTCGAAACACGCCGACGCCGTTTTAGGGACTTCTATAGTTAACCGCTACCGTGTTCCGCGTACCGCTCTACCGGAACCTTTGAAGCATGCTTTTGAGCGCGCGCCCGAGTAAAACCATGACCGCGGGGCGCGCGCTAAAAATCATGCTTCAAAGGAGCAATGCGATCTTTATCGCAATGCCTCACCATACGGTAGCCTGCGGTTACGCTGCTAAAACTACCTGTTAGTTACCATGGCGCAGGTTGATCACATGTTGCAATTCATTAGACCGCGACGGGGCGCAGTGAGCTGTGAGCCTCTGACACAGATACATGTCTAGACAGCAGCTTGGGCTAGTGCGGGTTGTGTGTGCATCTTCTTCGTCCGTGTTTTTTGCACTTTTAAGTCCTCTAGAATATAGTTGTGTGCAGTGTAGGCGAGGGCAACGCCAGGCGAAGAGAGAAAGGCCGAGCATTAGGAAAGCGGGACGTAAGAGGAGGACAATGGAGGGCGAGGGGAGAACGGGAGAGCACTAGGAACGCTAGAGAGGAGAGGAGGTTTGTTTCCTCCTCCCCAGCCCTTTTACAAAACATTTCAGTTTGAGAAAAAAAAAAAAAAGATCAGCACCAAACTTTAAAACTTGCTAACATTACGAGAAAAAAAAGAAAAGATATATATTGATCTATTGTTTGGTTACAAGTTAAGTCGTGTCGGTAGAAGCGTCGAACCACTCTCGACGCAAATCAGTGACCACGTTTTCGCCGCGGAAATTTCTCGGGTCAGGAGGCTCAAAACAGTATGGTGTGTGGTCCGAGATCTTCCACGCTGCCCCAGCTTTGGGGAAGCCTGTTGCCATGTCAGCATTAAAAACTTTGAATAGGGAACACTTTCTCACTTCTCGTAAGCCGCGTTCCGCCATGCTGATGAACTGCGTTCTCCACATGTCCCTATTGCTTTGCGGGCAGACGCCTAGTTATCGGAGTGGTTTCTGGCGTTTATGATATGCACAAGCATGGCGATTGGCTTCGTCGAATATAGATATCAGTAAATACGATTGGCTTCGTCGAATATAGATATCAGTAAATACGACTGGGAATGTATTTGAAGCCTCAACAACGAAGGCCTAGTTCCAGGCACGTAGCCCGGATTTGGTTTTGGGGGGGAGGGGGGGGGGGGCGCCCATGACGAGATGCTGTATGAGGGGGAGGGGGCAGGGGAGGTCCCAGCAAAACGGGGGATTTCGGGGGGGGGGGGGGGGGGGGCGGGCCCCCCTTACCCCCTGGCTACGTGCCTGGGCGGCCCTTGAGTTCGAATTACGACTGGTATGTATACACCTCGAATACCAGCCGATGTCCTTTCATGTTACCGACTGCTCCGGCTAATGCAGTCGATCACGACGCAAAATAACTCGAGCGAGCTGAAAAATGCTGCCTCCGTGCATCGAAAGATATAGACCTTTGTCCGGAAGTGCTCTTTTTAGCCTCGACCGCAAGGAGCAAAAGCGAACAATAATCTCGAACCCAGACGCTCACGGGGAGGGGGGGCTGCGTCGGCCTGCGCCGCCGCTTCCCGTTGAAGGCTTCTTCGCTGGTGTGCCGACTGCCGTTTCGCCGGCATCGGTCCTGTTTACCGCGGTATGTGAGTATAGTGCCCGTAATGTGAGAGCCGTGTGTCCATACGCCACTTTGCCGCTGTTGGTTTCCATCTAGCCGAGCCAGAAAACATCTCGCGACGAGTTGACCGCGCCGCGAGCGACGAAGAAGAAGCAAACATGGCGACGGTTTGTGCGATTGCTTTGGTGGCTCCGGTGTTGAGTGTCTTCAACGTCCTCGTGAGAAGGTTCCCCTGCCCTTCGAAGTTATTGCAAGCACCACGAAAGATGTGGAATCATCGTCTCAACTACAAATAAGCAGGCCTTCACGAGCAACAACGGTGCCGAGCAGGCGCTCGGCACAGTTGCGTCAGGCTCACGCAGCCAGCGGCACAGTTGTGTTGGTTGTGTCGTCAGATGTTCAACAACGCCGAGGTATTTTCATTTATCATTGCGAATGGCTTCAAGAGTGGGAAATTAATCTATTTCGCGGATTGTTAACGCCAAGGCGAGTGCCCTCCGTTGCAGTGCCGTCGTCGCGCAAAGTGCAGAGAAAACCGGGTGGCGATGGCGGCGGTGCTCTTTGATCTTGCGCCGTCGGGTTCATGAAGTCCGGAGTAAAACGTACGTACGTGCGCCTGCTGGATCGGTGTTTTGGACTTCCTCAAAACTCTTTCTCACGCGCATTTTCCTTGTGAAGCTTAGTAGCTCATTACACCTCGTCGTCGACTGCGCTCATTTGACTACGATGGACGAGCCTGCGTGATGTGAATTTCACTGCCTAAGATCCTTGGTGTGCTGTAACGAGGGCTAATAAAATATCACCGCGAACTTCTGAATTAACGAGTCGAAGTTTCGTGATAACTGATCGCCTGTCACAATATTAATCAGTAGCGTTCCTAGACTCCGCCCCCACAGGCACCGTGCTTCGTTGCCCGATAGTAAGTGTTTCCTGGTACCTCGTAGAATTCCAGCTCCCACTTCAAGTAAGTACTATCCTTTATAACTGGCAATTAATAGTTTCGAACCCAGACGCTCGCAGTGTGTGTGTGGGGGGGACGCGTGTTAACATACTCGGAGACCTCGTTTACGCCGCTTCGCAGCGGCAGACAAGGCGCCACATTACAAAAGGAAGCTAATCCGAGCTGTCTATGTAACTAGACCCATTCGCTAGTCATTCGATGAAACGTCGTGGTCTCGTTTTCATTCGCTAAAACGGCGTTCGATCAAGTGAACGCCTCCCACTTATTTCGGCTCGGGAGAGCCGCGCTGCCGCAGAAAGGCAAGCAGATCGCGAAAATCGGTCTCAAACGTGCCACGAATGTAATGTCGTAAACAAGAAGCCAACAATCAAGCATTTGAAAGCTACAAGAAAGCGGTAGCGAAATGTTTACTACGCAATGAACCCGGACTGAAACGCGGATGTCAAGGATCAGCAGACACCGAGAACATTTAAAAACAGAAAGGTTTTCTCTTGTTTTCTTGATCGAGATGGGTTCTCGAATGTTCACGACACCTTATCTGTTGAAGAACGGGTCGCGGAGGCTTCTGGTGAAGACATCGTTCACGATGTGCCGGTGCATTCGGACAGCCTGCCGCATCCAGCTCCCCAAAGCAACGCCGCCAACGCAGCCCCCCCCTCCTGCCTGCCAGTTCTCTCCGCGTGGTGGCGCGAGCGTAGATAAACATGGCGGCGCCCTGGAATTGGCGCGGACACTGGTCTATATGGGGCGAAAGTTAATCAGCATGGCTTCCGGCGAGATTTCGAGCCGCTGAAGAACATCATGTGATACCGCCCTGTAGGATATTATCGCATTGAATGAAGCCAGGCGCAAACCCGTTTTAAGGTCAATTTAATGCTATTTCTCGTTCCGGTGCAGCACACAAGTGGATAGCTCACCAACGTCCGGATCTTGAGCAAGTTCTTCGTAGCTGGAGTACACCTTGGAGATGCTGTGCAGCGCCGCGAACTTCTTGGCGTTCTCGAATCCGCGACCTGCGACGGCCACTACCTGCAAAGATACAGAGCAATGCGGGTCTTTCAGCTTCCCAAGCTAAACGAATTTTTGGAATCTCCAGCATTACTCTTTTCGGCATTCTTATTCATGATCTTTAAATTCAAAATAGCCACTGAGAAAAGGGTAAGTGACGGTGATGCCAAAAACTCAATTCAAATTGTCTCCGCACACTCCAGCATCAAACTTCTCGTGCCCGACGGGAAAAAGCTGTACTGGCCCATATTACAACGTTCGCGTCACGTTTTCAGTGTTGCCAGTAAAGTGTCCCAGCCTCTCAAATCAAATTTTAAAATCCAATAGCTTCTCGAAAAAAGAAAGTATTTTGACTTGTAACTCGGGTGGCTAGTTAAGATGTCTATGGCGACGGCGACGCCGCTCAAGCCGGAAACGGGCGCCTAAGAGCTGCGCTCTAAAAAGAACGTGACTTTTGTCGAGATATTATTCCAAGACGGCCGTGAGCTTGGAACATCTATATCCGTGCGGTCCTTGAATTGACATATCATTCTTTGCAAAGAGTTACCACACCTTTGCAAAGAGGATTGCCGAGGCTGTCTATGTTTCTGACGGTATCTGTAACCAAGCATTGCCATGAATAGTAAAGATAATCCGTAACTCCAAGCTATTATATGTCTGGCAGTCTCAACGCTGCGGCATGTGTTCAAGGTAAATTCTGTGACTCTGATGTGGGACATGTGGTCTATACGGACGTGCGCGTACCCGCCTTTTATTATTCTTTGTTTCTGAAACAAAGTGTGTGAACTGGTAACCTCCAGGGGAACCTCATTTTTGCAAAGCACACATTAATTATTCACGCGGAACTTGTGTGATGTCCACCGTCGCACCCACCCACTGCACAGTTTACACGGTGATGTCTCTGATCGGCTTTGGATTGAGGAGCGTGAGTTCTTGGCTTGTAGGTTTTTGGGGAATGTTTACCGATTAACACTTTTTTTTTTAGGAACTTAAACCTTCAAAATGTTAGAACGGGACGTACTCTCCAGGCCTCCGGAGAGTACTTCCCTTCCTGTCCTTTGGAACATAAAGAATAGTTTTCTTCGAAACTTGTTGGTTGCTTAATCAATCGACGAGCCAGTTCTGAAATAAACTTAGTACATAATTATGTGGTTGGAGGACTTCAATTTTTAGTGGTAAATTTAGTTTCAGTCTCTCAACTGATCGCGCTGTAATAGGCCACTTTCAAAAATCCCTCCATGCAACACTGCGTGGGTGCAGGGAACCAGTTGGACAGGGAGCGGAGTGACATGGTTTCAATTTCGATCAGACAGCCGCTGTCCGCACTCCTACAGGCAAGCACGTGAACTTCCCACCTGCATAACTTTTCTTAACGCGTATGCGTATGTGCATGCACGACAGGGGCACCAGGAAGGAAGTTGCAACTTATCGTTCTACACTTGCCCACCTTTGCCCAAAATGCGGCACATCGAAAACCACAAAAACAGCGCCAAGTTTCTTTGTGTTTTTTTTTTTTTCGGTATCTCTCGGCAACGTTTACTGTATTGTACACTTAGAGGAAGCCGCAGCGATGAAAACGCAAGCAGCGTGTTCCGTCACGACACGATGATCATGACAAAATCTAGAACTGAAACCAAAACTAACTGGAAAGCTGGTACCCAGAATTCATTTCGTGCCACCGTGCCACCAGGGGCGCTTCGATTCCGGAAAAGATATATTCAATTCCCCGCTAAATTTAGCGGGGAATCGAATTAATGTTGAGGTCATGTGACGTTTTCCCGCTAAATCTAGCGAAGAAACTGAATTTGTTCATAGGTGACCTGACACCAAGTCATGTGACGTCATTTCCCCCGCTAAATTTAGTGGGGAAACTGAATTGCTGTTGAGGTCACGTGGCGTCAATTTTTCGGCTAAATTTAGCGAGGAAACTGTGGGAGGAAGGGATGGTATGAAGGAGGAGGAGGAGAGGATACGGGGGGGGGGGGCATACCCTCCCCTCTTCCTCCTGAAATGCTTTTGCGCCATAAAACCCCAACCAACCAACCAACCAATCTTCCTCCTCAAGGGCTGCGTTCTAATTTCTCATTAGAGTGATTTGTAAACGTCTTTAATTTTGTTTTTAATCTTAGAGCAGAAATAATCGCTGACGTCAAATTTCGCGTGCATCCGAACTTGTGAACAGGCGGCTTATGTGGGAGTCCTGAATGAACTCCAACAAAAACCCGCAAACTAAAAAAAAAAAAAAGAAATAAAGGTAAATTTTTAGAGTTTGTGTAATTATCGGGGCACTTCAGAATGGGAGGAAAGTTTTCACATGGAACCGAACCTGGGGGTCCGGTCCCACTCTAATAATAAAAAAAAAAAAATACATTTTTTTTTTTTTGCAAGGAATAAGGCATCTGTGTGACATGGCCAAAGCAAGACGTGAGACCGAAACCGCTGGTACCATCCTTTCGATTTTATAACTCGCCCACGTCGTCAATCACAACAGCGCTTGTGTGTGTCTGCCCAAACAGAACTGTGGCGAACAAATGGGATATGGATCCCCAGGAATATGTCGCGTAAATTCATAACAAGTCAGACGCGAAACTAATGAACCATTCTGATGTTAGCCTGTGACTGAGGCAGGAAAAGAGGAAGTTTCAAAGTAGAAGAAAAAGGAACAGTCGAGGATACGTCTCTATGCCTGCCTCAGTCTCAGGCTAACACCAGAACGGTTAATTTCCACCAGCTCCCCTGCGCACTCACTACGATATCATTGACAAACTAATGAAATTGCAGTAAAGTGGAGATTTGGGCCAGTTGGTTCATTGCAAGCAAAAAGCGCTTTTTTTTTTTTTTTTTCGGCGCTTTTTGCTTGTAATGAAATTGCCTTTTGACGTCCGCGTCTGCAACTGTATCCACGCGAATATCAGGGTTGCCAGGTATTTGAACTCCAACCCGCCAAACGTCTACGAGATATAGCCCAAAAATAGCCAAATGTCGATCCCGAAAAATAGCCCAAAAATAGCAAAAAAAAAAAGAACTTATCTTTGAAACGTTTATTTTGAACAGAAAAGACACATAATACATTTTTATCCATCAAATGCCCCAGAAATGGCGTTCCTTGCACGTTAGGCGAACTTCGTGAAACGCTCGACTATTGGGGCATGGTGACCAAAATGACGTCACGGGAGAACTATGCAGAATTAAACACAAAGTATAGGTGCACGCCAATCAACAGACAATCTAAACAATGCGCAGAACAGGTGCTGTTAAGGCCGTGAGAAATCGCGCCGTCACTTGTTGAGATAGAGGAATAACAGCACACGCTTGCATTCGGACAAAGTTCGGAGGTCAAGGCGCGCAAACAGCAGACGTCTTTGTTTGCTGTCGCATACTTATCAGGCTTAAGGGACTGAAGCGTCAAATGTTCACGTAACTTACTCTAAAAAATACATTTGAACCTATAAACCCAAGTGCTTTCAGGCATTTTCTTTCCAGCACAGGTCAGAAATTGCCCAATGCACAGGTCAGAAATAGCCCAATACTAGCCAAATAGCCAACTACTATTTTTTGCCGCCAAGTGCAAATAAAACTAGCCCAATTTGGCTATTTATAGCCCAACCTGGCAACCCTGGCGAATATCTCACGGGATCGCCGCGTTACGTCGACGTTGTCACAATCACGAGATCTCCACTCGTAATCGAAAACGCACCGCTCGCTTTCTCCCGGGCACAGTCGAGCACGCATAATCCTTCTCACCTAACGACAGGCGTAGCGTAGCTTCGCTGTGGCCACCGGGTCCATATCACAAGAGCGAATGACATTTTAGCGAACGGCGACATTTGAGCGAATGGTCGTTTTAGCGAATAACGGGGGCGCGCGTTAACCCATCCGTCGCGCTGCGCTTTACGCCGCGTCGCGGCGACAGTCTGCGGCAACTCATCACAAAAATATAAACTCACTTGGCCCACCCGAAAACGCCGCTTCGCGGCGTCCGACTATTCGCTAAAGTGTCGTTCGATGAAACGTGGGCGTTCGCTAAAACGTCATTCGATCAAGTGAGTGCCTCCCTGGCCAGCTCGAACACTCACGGCGACGACGTGCACCTGACCGAATCGATCTTGCTCGCACACACGCTCTACCATGTACGAAAAATAAGAAACTATTAGATGCTTCTGTTGATTTGTGGGCAGCGAACTTTGTTGGTATATCTCACGTGTACGCAAGTTTCCACTGGGCCGTCGGGCAGAGCCACATAACTTTCGCCACGGAGGCCAAATAAAACGAGATGCGGTGCCTGTTCTTGGCGCCTAATGGTCCAGAAACACACATCGATCTATCTTACGTCCGGCTTTCGATATACCTTTTCTCATTTTTCGCTGAGAATTGCTCATTGAAACATACAAAATAAGTTGGTCAACCGGAAGTATTCTAGGCCACAGGAAGTTACGCAGTTTTTTGTTTATGTTTACCTTTGAAGGTTAAAGTAGCTGCGAACTGTTTTGGATGGCCAATATAACAGGACCGGCATGCAAGGAAGAAACAGCCTCATAGAGTGCCTGCTGCAGCCTGCAGGCTGTTTTTTGTAAATAACAGTGTGGCGGCGGCTTAAAAATATTTGCTGGACTTATTTTTCGCAGAGGATAGCGCGCTTTCTAGTGCTTTAGAATGGCAAGAACTCACCACATGATCTTCTCTCGGCATGGTATTGAGCACAGCAACGAAGTCGTTGCAGACACGTCCTGCGCTGACGATTCCCCATCTCGTTGGCGGTGCCATCTCTGTTGTATTCCGAGGAAGTACGGTACTTTCTCACTGCGAGGGGCAAACAGAAGTGTGTCGAAGAAACAAGCCTCCTACCAGGTATGTGGAAAGGAGCAGACGGCAAGGCCGGCGAGCCTTCTCAGCTGTAACTGCCGTCTTATTATACAACCGCGTGGCCTTCTACGCACTCGCTCGTTTTTTTTTTCTTCATTTTTTTGACGTTTTAGTTGCGATTCCGTGTACGGAAGTGTTTTGTTTGTCAATTATGTAATGAGTCAAAGTGCGACGCGTCGTATTCGACCTTGGAGCTAATGGCCGGGTTTGAATTTCGCGCGTTTTCGCTGACCAACAACTTTCACGCGGGTGCCGCACGCAGTACATGCCTTTAAACCGTAGACGAACGGACGACAAGGGGACACACATGCACGCGTCGCCCCCGATAACGATACCCGGAACTCTGCCGACGCCTTTGCTCATGCATCGAACAAACGCACACAAACGTGTGCCTTTGTCCTCGTGTCGTCATGTGTGACGTTAACCATACCACTTGTTTAATAACTTTGTCTTCTAACGAGATCAATGTTGATACCTTATTTTATTTAACGTATCTATATGTATCTTTTGTCTATAGGATTCAAACCCAGTTTCATCTCCCAATTTTGAAAAAAATTTCAAGCAATCTCGAGACACAGACACCAGGCAACGCAAGCTACCATCCATTACAGAGAATGTATCCAAATACCGGATTTGTTGTCCATTTGCACATTTATATATCAATGATCATCATCATTATTTCTCTGGACACGGGAATGGACGCCGAGACGCTCTCCGGCGTCGTTTGTGCATCGGTTTGAATTGTCAGTGGTAAGTACTTTGCCATTTATTTTATAGCTTGTTGCGTTATTTCACACACCCGAGAAACCTTCATTAAATATTCACGCCTCCTGAGACACACTGTTTTGAGTAACAGCCGAAGTTGAGTGCCTTCCCGACTACCGGGGTGCGTGCATTACCTAAGCCTGATTTGTTCTACGACGGTTCTGAAGTTGCCGGTGGAAGCAAAGAAAAGTAATAAAGCTGGGTAAAGGAAAAGCGAATTGGCCTGCTAAAAACGCACGCGATTGCAGAAACGTCTTTGCCTGCGCTTCGAGCTACTAGTTTTTTTTACAATACAAGAATAGCCGTACTGTCGTTGTGTCGTCTAGAGCTGATCGCCGCCTCAACGTTTTTGCTTTTCAGGTTCACGTTTTTGTGACAGTTCCGCGCAAGACCCATCACAAGTTATGTACGTATATAATATTTCCCTAGAACTTCTACGCGAAAAAGTGCACATCGCGGAGCATAACATTAGGAGCATGCGATCGCCGGCTGCAAGTATCTTACCTGGGGTGCTATGTTGCGCTTTTTGCACTCCCAGGAGACTTGGAAGAGGGAAGTGACGTCAACGACACAGCAAATGCAGATTGGATGTTGACAGAAGAAAACGAAATCAACACCCAATCTGCGTTTGCTGCGTCGTTGACGTCACTTCCCTCTCCCTAGTCTCCTGGGAGTGCAAAAAGCGCAACATAGCCCCCCTGGTTCGCAAGATCGGTTTTGTCGGGGTTGCCAGGCTCGATATGCAACAAGAAGCCTAAATCCCCTGCAGAATTGTGTAAAATCAGCCGACTTTTTTTTCTTGCAGCCACGATTAAAACAAAATACAGAAACGGCCGAGTGAATCAAATGACATATACTGTTGAGCTTCCGTTGTACTCGTGCATACGTCAGTATTTCTGCCTGTGTTTTCTAAAGTAAGGCCTGTAGTATTATTTTGGATTCTGGCTAGGTTCTTACCATAGTCAAGCTGGACAGCAAGCAGTCAGGTCGCTTTGGTGCTTCGAAAATTTCTTTTGCCAATTCCTCTTGGAAATGCTGGCAGTTGCAGCAAACTGTTGTCAAATGGGTAGGGTCATGTCTGCTGAAGACAAAAGTTTGGAGGTAGCAGATGAAGTCATGGGATGTGGCATTCGCGTGGCCTTCGAATTGTTAGACCGGCAAACGAAGCTCCTGGTAGCTTCCTTGTTATGATGCTATATCGGTGACATTGATTCCTCTAAAAAAAGATTCGTCATTGTCATTCCTGCATGTGGGAGCTGTGCTGCTCTGCTTATGATATGGTTTGTAGACTGGTGAAATATGAAACTCTAGAAATAGTGAGCTCCAACTGATACGCGGCCTGAGGGATTCTTGAGCTGTGCGAGTCGATGCAGTCATTGTTGATAGTAGCCACCTGGTATGGACTGCAACATAAATTGGATGAAGCTTTGCAATGGCCCAGGTGACTCCGAGGCATGCCTCTTCCGTTGTGGACTATTGACTCCCTGCTAGAGATGGGCCGACTTCGCCCAAAACTACGATGCCAAGGTGCTGAGCATCGGTTGGACAACATGGGGGTATTTAAATATATGTTCTTGTTGTACCAACGGCCGCCTCGCCTTTTCTACGGGTGTCGGAAGTCGAGCGGTTCCTTACGAACGAGGACTCGGCCTTCGAGAGAGGAGAGGGGACGTACCTCGGAAGCGTGCGTTACTTTTGTTGACGGACAACTATCTGTAGCTCTTCAAGAAGTGACTGATTCGTGTACAAAATTACGCCCGTCAACCACCAAAGGGAGCCGTGACTGCAGAGAAGGAGCTTCCTTGTGCGTCATCTCCCACCTCTTTATCACATCCTCATCACCTCCCCTCCTGCGTGGAGACACTCCTCACTCTTTTGCACCTCCGTCCTCATGTGTAGAGGGATGCAACCTGTCGTTTTTGGAGGTCAGGGCCAAACGTTGCCGTCTCTCGCAGGGCGGCCAGTCCCAAGCGCGTCCGGTCAACAGACGCCAAGAAAGAGCGCGGCCGGGAGCGGACCAAGAAGAAGCGCACCGCCTCGTCAAGCAGTTCGAGGTCAAGCAGCGCCGCCAGGTCTGTCTTTGTGACCTTGCTCGTAACATCACTCGAACATACATTCTCGTTTTCACCTAAAAACCGGCGACCGGTTTGGGCTTTCCACATTTCCCTCCCTTCCTCCTCTCCCGCTTCTACTCTGTCCATCGTTGCCTGTTTCCTTCTCTTGCATGTTGAGGAATATCTTCTGCGTTGCAGAACCTGGAGTCTGGTCATCGGCGTACATGCACGGCGGTGATTTCGTTTTGGGGTGCCCGTCAAACGCGAAACTGCGCGTGCTGCGGGATGTGTTGCCGCTTGTTGCGGCTTTGGCAAATAGTAAACATCATATTCGCACAGTGTTTGGGCTACCTATGCTGCCGGTATGCGAAGCTCACTTAGCATACCGGCCGCTCTGTCGGTGCTGGCTCTTCCATTCCAGTCTCCCAACGCTTTTAGGAATTAAGTTCGGGGGATGGGAGCTCGTCATTCGACGGAGAAGCTGTATAAAGTACCTCCGGTTAGGAATCTGAAGCCACTGCAATTTCGCAGGAAAGGATGCGCCAAAATGAAATCGAATGGAAGAAAGGTGACAGCATTTTGCCATCATGTATTTTCATTTGATGCTTCTAAACCAAACAGCTTGCAAGCTCCGTACATGCTCCCGCAAGATAATTAGGAAAGAAAACCTGCACATCGACCGCTTGTTTATACTATTCCTTTCGAAACAAAATCCGACCACTAAGAAACATTTTTTTGGGAAAAAATTCGACCGTCAAAGGGTTAAGAACCGTAGAATGAGCAAACTGTGCCCAAACACTGAAATTCAAGTACAAACAGAGCAGACCTTCCTCTGTGAAGAAGGAAAAAAAAATTTATGAGGAAAAAGGAAAAAGGATGTAGGGAAAGTCTGCTTTACAATGTACAGGGGTCGAAAGCAGGAAATAAGGAAGGAGCATTGGGACGATGATTCACGGGGGAGCTCGTTGTTATTCCACACTCCAACAGGAGTGTTGAGGACTAGGACATACTGGACAAAGTATGAGGAAATGGATATGCAGTGTGCCGTATGCTAAAGGAAAGACAAGACAATAGAACATGTGGTGTTGAGGTGCACAGGGCTTGGTCCCACCCTGTCGGACGGGGCGACGGATTCAGTCGGAGCGCTGGGGTTTGCAAACAAGAATGGAAGAATGGATGATGAGCACATTTTAAAAACAGGAGATTGGAATACTGGTGGAAATTATCTTGGGAGAATCGAATGACATACAACTAACTAACACAGCTGGGGACAGGCAGGACAGAAGAAAACTGGGTCTCCCCCTCCCGCTTAGCCTCGGCCCAAAGTCTCAACTCTGTCTCCCAGTGGGCTTGGTGCTGGGGTAACGCTGACTAGGCTGGACCAGATGAGAATTGGTGGCTTTCTCGCCGGGGAAAGAGGAGGGGGTTGATGTCTTCATAGTTTTCTTCCCCCTATTTTCCAAAGGTCATCTTTGTGATATCTCAGATCGCCTGGGGATAGTTACAGTATTGCAGATGGGAAGCAGCTTGGTTTGGAAATGTGAAGCGGGAATCATAGTTTTGGTATTTAGTTTCTAGTCTAGGTGGTGCAAGCCAATGCCCGTTATAAAGGTTCAAAGAAAATTTATTTGTGTACTTTAGGATCGCTACTTTTTTTTTTTTTAACTATTACTACACTTACAATAGAATGTCTAGACCGATGAAACAATCATAACAGGAGAATGAGACATGATTTGAAGTTTCTGCACAAGGTTGCAAATAGAATAATTGATCCATCTGTATTAGTAGTTACGTATATTTACTTACGCAATTCTCTGATTTCTTGCAGATCACATTCAATGTTTTATCCTTCCGATCGGCATAAAGCAGAACCCATGATACGGCTACAATTAACATATAGCCATTGGGAAGAGATTGCTGCGATTAGTAGCCTTGATATCTTGGATAACGCGCATAGATTTAACAATTCTGTTGATTATATTATGTTGTTCTTAGTCTAAAGTTTCTCTTCCTATTCATATGTTTGTTCTGCTCTTACATACTCAGTGATGTGATTGCTGCGCCAATTGCGCCAAACTGCACCAAGGGGCTAACCTTGCTACATCCTGCTACATTTCACCGAAATATGGCTAATCTGCGCCAAGCCTGCGCCAAAGAAGCAATTTTGGTCGCCTTTCAGAAACGAAACTAAACTGAGAACCGTAATTGAGCATGCGTAAGCTAGGTCGCACAAGACGCCACCCGACACAAAGTACCCTGTATCAATCGTCTATTTGGTCTTGCATGATTTTTCCCGACGTCTCGCGTTTCATGCACTCGTCGTCTCAGGAATCTCGTCTCGCGTCTTTCTTTTTTTTTTTTTTAGCGGTAGACGCGGGTGTGTGCGGACTCTCGGACGTTAGGGTATCGGGTGCCAAACATGCCGTCATGCTGTGAAACAAAACCACGTTTTTGCGCGGCGGGAGTTACTTTTTGAGCTGAAGCGCTCGCGCGACGTCGTGTGTTGCCGTCCCCGCGTCGCTGCAGATATGGGGCTTTCTAAACTGAAACGCATCGACATTCCTGCTCTTGTTTAAATCATACGCTGCTATAAAACTCCCTCTCTAACTCAATGACTGCTTGGCAAATTTTTGATTACTTAGGTTTTTCCTGGTGGGCTTTCTTTCGAGAGGGACCCCGGTATGTGAAAAATCTGCCGCGAAAGAAAGTTGGTGAAGAGAAGTGAGCTAAAGCAACGAAGGCAATGTCTGCACGCTGAACCCGCATAGCGTGCTTGTCTGTCTCGAGTTCAGTCGTTGCACGAAGCGCTCCAAGAACTTTTTTGACCCTGATTCGCAGTGTCTTGCATTGATACGCTCAGGTTCTTTTTTTCTGTGTGTTTAGCCTGTACCTCGCCTGTCGGCCTGGCAGGCACGAGTCGCTGGACTGTTTATTGTCGTATGCTGGACAGTTACATTTTGCATACTACTTTGGGAACCATGCAGTTGGCGACGGAGCGCGGAGTGGCATGGTTTCGGTTTCGGTCGAACAGCCGTTGTCTCCGCCCGCGCGACGAAGCACGTGTAACTGCAAGCCTGCTGAAGTTGCCCTTACGTGTATGTGAACATGATTGCAACAGAGGCACCAGCCGGGACGCTTGCAATGCGTTGTTTTACGTTTGCTTACTTTTTTTATAAAAATCTGCCACGTCAAGAATTAGTAAAACGATAGCAATTTTTTTTTTTTTTTTTTTACGGAATCGCTTGGCAACGTGCCTACAGCACTGTGTACTTGTGGGATGTCTCAGCAGCAAAAACACAAGCAGCGAGTTCCGCCCCAACACGTCACATCACGAGACAACACAAAGTGCCCTTCGTTTGTTTAGCACTTAAAACGAATAGTATTTAATTTTCTAAGAATATATGCTCCAAAAGTCAGTTTTTCTGCTCCGAAACACTGTTTTGGCTGCTCCAAAAGCCACTTTTGCTGCTCCAAGACACTATCTTGGCTGCTCCAAAAGCGAAATTTGCTGCTCCAAAACACTGTTTTGGATGCTCCAAAAGGTGCTCCAAAATGGCTTAGGCCAATCACATCACTGCATACTAATCTGGAAAGTGCTCCACTAAAAAGGTGTCATGCTGTTTCTGGGCCACTCAACATGAATGAATGAATGAATGGAAAGCATACAGCTGTTGGCATTGAACTGTCCATCCATTTCGAAAAAGGCTCGGCGGCTCCCCACTCAACGGGGTGGATTAAGATATGTCCACGGATCAAATTGCACGTGTCCCAAGTGAAAGAAGCATCATTCTTTCTTACGACAACCAAATCTTGTAAAGCGCCGTTCACACACTTGCAACCAAGTAGGACCGAGAGAGACGAGACCGGTTTTTAAGACTCTCGCGACAGCGGAGGCCCGGATGCGCTGCTGCAAGGCAGGTCCTACGCCATCACAAGATGCTTCAAAACCGGTCTCGTTTCTGTCAGTCCTACTCGGTTGCAAGTGTGTGAAGGGTGCTTTAGGGCCACATTGTGCAGCGTATCAACTTTGCACAGAACGTCCCTTGTCCAACAGCGGGAGCAGCTCCAGCGGCAGCAGCTCCAGCGGGAGCAGTTCCTCCGGGTCGTCGCGCTCCTCGTCTTCGTCGTCCTCTTCCTCATCGAGGTCGACCTCCGTGTCTCCCCGTAGAGGGCGCAACCGTCCTTCCAGGTGAGATCTCGGATGCCCCAGTGCCCCCGTTTTGTTTTAATGGGGCACTTACACCCCAAAGGTCATATTTTTGTTGTCTAAAACAATGTTTTAGGCAAACGTCTTAGACCTGCGCCACGTGTCGCCCAGGTCGGAGAGTGCCCAGCGCGCCCGTCGCAAGCGCAGCCCATCTCCTCCCCGCCCTTGCAAGATCCACGTGGGGAGGCTGACCCGGAATGTGACGAGAGATCACCTTCTCGAGATATTCGGCTGCTACGGGACCGTCAAGGTGAGTTCTGGCCCCTCCTCTCTTTTGACCCCACTGGACCTGTGGCCAGTGGGGATGCTTTGGTGCGGATGCTTTGGCTTGTTGACTTGGGCGAGTTGGCGATTCGTAGCCGGCAGTGGTGCGAAGGGACGGGGACGAAGGAGACACGCGGAGGGAAGAATGAGGTGTGGATGAGCTAAGCAGTTGCAGAAAGCCAAAACTCCCTCCAAGAGTGTGACGCTGGCCGTGGTAATGGCATGCAGAAGTGTAAGTGCACGACGTTGCCCGGGTGAAAAGATACCAAAGAAAAACAAAACTTCTCCATGGGCCGACGCCCGCTCGAGGCTAATATTCGGTAAACCAAAATTTGTGCTTGGGGGCACCTGTAGCATTTATTTCGGAGAAAACACTTGTTAGTTACAAAGGCCGTATACTTTACTTTCTTGGTGAGAAGTTCTTTCACTTAGGGGAGACACCACCTTAAATTTGCCATTTTTTTTTAGAAGGAAATGACTTCCTTAGTTTTTGTCTATTGTGGTTCAACAACTAATAGTGTGCGCTCCTGCAAGTCTTTATTGCAATATCTGAAATGTTTACGGAAAAACAGAACATTTTCGGTAAGCCGACGATGCAAAATCATGCTTTTGAAAATGTGAAACTTCTGTGTTTTTTATTTTCTAACAGCTGTAGCTCTGCACCAGTACACCCTAGAATGATGATCATGCCCTCGTTGGAAAGAGCATTTCTTCACAGTTTTATTACATTAAACAAATTTGTTCGAGAGTAAACGCTATTCTTGGGAACACCACAGAAGTCCAATTTTCCCGTGGAAGAGGCTAAGCACATGGCCAAAAATCGAAAAGCCCGCCCTGATTGAACAGAAAACTACTAAAACCGACATTCGTTTATAGAAAGTCGCGTGGGTTTGTCGGCTTTGTATTTCGACGGTGCTTGCCCCGCCCAAAATTGCTGACTCTGGTTCGTGGATTGCAGGCATGTCCAATTCCTCACTTCTTTCTCAATCAGTGCCCGCATGTCGACAAGAAAATGACACTCGAAGGAAGTGTTTTGAGCTCGTACTCGCTCAGCAAAGCCATGCAGGAGATCTGGATTAAGCAGAAGGCAGCACCTATGCTCTTGGTGCCTTTTAGTTGTCACCACCACCAGTAAAACCATATGTAGTGTGGAAGTTTCAAATTTGGTTTTTCTCAGTTTTACTTTTTTGCAACAACTCTCGTTTTAGGAAATCTGTCATTTCAGTGAATCGCGGAATATATTATTCTTCGCTGTGCATGCTTTTGAACTGAAATTTAATAAAGAATGCTGCTAGATGTTTATTTTTCTATTTAAATAAAGTTCTTGTTGCTGAAAAGTAGGGTTTTTCATGAGGAGAAAATGCCCCATTATGTGGAATGACTTTTTAAATTGTCGTTTTGCATAAAAGACGGATTTCGGGGTAAAAAATAGATAGCCGCACCTCCCATATGTTCTAGTTAAGGCTGAAGCGTAGAAATGCTCAATATGTTGCAGCAATTTTAGGCGATAGATTTCCTTGGCAAGTTAGCCAACTCACATCGCTAGCTGTGTACCTACCCCTCTAGTTTGTCGTAAAATTGTATTACGGAGATGAGACGTCACACAGCGCATTTCCGCAACGAGATGAGTAGATCCTTTAAATTTCATATATATCGAGCAACTGGTTTGAACGTCGACAGTTGAAGGTGGTGTCACCCCTTAAAGAACAACTCTGCTCGATTTCGGAAATTTTAAGATAGTGGGTGATATAAACGTGAAAAGTACTCCAAAGCAACCCTAGGCTGCTTGTCTTATGAAAACCAAAATATTTTTCGTGCGATCTTGTATGCAATAATTGCAAACGAAAACCAAAACTTCGGCACAGTTGCGCAACATTCTATTCTCGACGTCAGTTGCATACGCACCCACAGGTGATAAAAGCAGTCACGTGATCTATTTGCGGGAAGCGAGAAATGGTGCAGATGCATGGGGAAGGGCGAGGAGCGGGGAGGAAAGATGGGCAAAGCAGCGGCGAATGAGAACAAAAAAAAAAAAAAAAATAAAGGGAGAGGGAGAGGGTGGTACAGGGTGTCGCACGCAAGTGGCGACGAAGCAGGCTATTTAGGTGGCAACCCGGCAGAATCTTGCACGCTATGTTTCGCAATCAGCGAAACATAGCGTGCAACATTCTGTACCATCCTTCTACTGGATTTTCTTGTTCTTGTTCGCTCTTCTTCGTCTCTCTTTTGCCTTTCCTCTTGCTCAGACGTGGCGTGCCGGTAGCGCCGTCTGGTAAGCTCTCCCTGGAAAAGAAAATACCAAGAAAAACAGCTGTGCATGCAACGGATGTCAGCCACAGCGGAAATGCAACGTTGGCTGTGCCGCACATCGCTTGTTATTTAGCCGTTTTTGGGGACTTCTGGCATCTTAGTCTTTGTTGGCTGGTTTAAGGATGATTTAGGCGGTGTTACATTCTAATATTTGTCATCTGGTCTCTCTAGATGAGACTAAAGAGAGCTGCATTGTTTTCTGACAACCGAGAATAAAGCGGAGTTCCCCTTTAATGGCCACAGGCACCCACAGTCTCAAATGCCAGTTTGACGAATATTAGGCTTAGGTGGAATTTCGGCTCGTATAGAAATTTTGTATTCCTTTTGGATCTTTTTGATCCGGGTAATGCCATGCGCTCAAACTTTCGCATTTCATTACCACCACTGGCGTCGCATTCGCACAGAGCGTTCAGCTTTCTGCGACGCATAGTTTGTGTGACGCATAGTTCATAGAAGATGAAACCGGGTTTCATCTTCTCGATCTAACCCTGTTCTTTCCGAGAAGCAACGACGTTGTACAAAGAGGAGACAAAAATGTCCGCGAAATATATTGAAGCTGAAAGGATCTCGCAGCTCAAGGATAGTTGTGCCAGCTCCCCTTTAGTGTGTCTGGCAAAGAATGACACTGTTTGGTGAAATGGTCAATGCGATGTGCTTAGCTTTTACAGGCGTTTTTCTTTTTATTTCATTTTCATATTATGTTGCTGGTTTTTGCGAACGAGTAGAAGAAGAGACCTATCAGTTGCAAGCTGGTGGTCCTTTCGTCCCTGACTTTTTGCATTGTTGCTGCTGTCATGCTTTGGCTGTCTGAATAATGGCACATATTCTTTTTTTGCTGCCTCGTGGTCAGAAAGGGTTACGTGCATTATCGTGGTTTCTGAGGGTCGCCGAGCAGAGCCCGGACGGGATTCGGGCGACAGTCCTACGGGAGATCCTTTTAACGTGCAAAGTTTTTGATGGATGTGATTCTAGGATTGGCTCCTCTGCTTGATAGGCCTTCCTGAAAAAGCCTGCAAGGCCTTTCAGTGACCCTGAATTGCACTGCGAAGTGTGGGGTATTCCGGGGCCATGCCAATGTACAGTCAACTCTCCCACTTGAGCAAACTTTAAGGGACCCGAGGAAATAAATAGTTCACATAACTGAAAGTTGACTACACGGAATATATTCACTAGAATATGGAACAGCATAGGGCGCAACATATATCTAGTCAAAAGGGTGAAATGCAATTTAGGGAGTCGTGTACATTGATATATACAAAGTGCATAACAGTTACGTTGCTGCCTTTCTTATTTTGAAAAAAAAAAATATAATTTTCATTTCCACCGGCGCTCTTAAAGTGCATGAATTAAGAAAGCTGTCCAGAGAGTATTTTTTTGCACTTCCTTTGGCACAGCATGTTGCTGTGACGAAGCCATACTGCAATGGCATCATCCGCTGGCTCGAAATATCCCGTGCAGAGTCGTTTCCTGTTGGGATTGAACGCAGTTTCTTCTTCAAGCTTCGACTTTTGCTTCACCATCGTTGACTGTGGAATCCCATAGTTCTTTGCAACTTCCACTTGCCTTTGACCGTTGTCCAGACGCTGAAAGATTTTGAGCTTGTCTGATACGGACAACCGCTTCTGGTTCCTCATACTCGTTGCAAAAGTGGGCGCACAAACTGCCGTCCTGCCATTGTTACCGAAAACAAAGATGGCCGAATAGAACCGATGACAAAGAAAAACCAGACATACCAGCTTTGTTTTCGTCGACAGCGTCACGGCTTTGCCTTGGCAGCGCTTTAAACGCCAGCGACGATACACCGCCGCTGCAGCGGGCATCGGCTATGCCAGCACTGCAGAGCATAAAACTTAGTTGAACTGATTGCAAAAATAATCCTGGGCCCTCCGATCAAGTTCGTTGAGCTGAAATATTCGCTGTTCCTAAATTTGTTTTTCAGTTGACTGAAACATTTTTGCATAGAATGCATAGGAAAACTGCCGGGGATTTTTTAAAAGTTTGTTATACTGAAATATTTGTTAAACTGACTTTCGCTCAAATGAGAGTTTACTGTATTTGTCAGGGCCAACTCGAATCTTCTGGAAGCAGGGCAATCCCTTCTCTCTTACCTCTGCGAGTTCAGAACACAACAAAAACAAAACAAATGCATGACAGAGCTGATACATACCTTTTTTTTTATTACAGTCCCGCCTTTGCATTCTAAAATGGCAAAATACTCGACCTAAATGCTTGAGAAGATGGCGGGGCGTTGCATTCTTATGGAACGGTCTGTTCGACAACCTCGCAAGAATGTGTTGAAGTTAGCCAGAACCCGAGCAATGTTGAAAAGCCACCAATGGCTCCAAAACATGTAGCGAAAGTTTGAACTATTGCATCTAGGCACATGGGCTCTATATCGCCGAGAGTATTCTTCCGGCGGTTTGCCTAGGTAACCCTTCATATTTTTGTCATGATTCACTATTTCTTTTTTTTCTAAGAACACAGAAAAATAGTTTAGTTCTAGTGATTGCAGGGGCATGGCCAACGGTGACCTCGGCAGAAATGGCATTACTTAGCCACGGCGGGCGATAGCGAACATTGCTGACTGGGAATGACAGTCGAATTCGGTTCGTCGCTCCTTTCTGCGTTCGCAGGTTTTGCACTTCACAAAATCTAAAACCAGCACTCTTCAACCTATTTTTTCTTCGCATGCCGAAAGTTAAGGTACTCCTTATTTTTGTCCCGATTTGCTTTTGATTCTAGGTGGCCCATCTCTCGGGGTATTATGGTAGTCTGTCCCCGGAAAAAATGTGCCCTAGGGAGAAACCAAACCACCAGTCCATCTCTAGGGCATAGTATGCACTAGGTACAAACTCCCTAGAGCAGAATGACTGGTAAGAAAACTCTCTGCCACATGTGTCATTGGGGCATAACACGAGCGAAAGCTTCCGGACCCGCGAGCGGGGACCCGTGGGCGGCGGCAGACAGACTCAAGACCCTCGTCCATGGCTCCTCTTGCAGGGTGTGGAGCTTCCCCCCGATCGCACGCACGGACACCTGTCTCGGGGCTTCGCGTACGTGGAGTTCGAGAACCCAGCCGACGCAGAGCGAGCCATGCGGCACATGGACGGAGGTGAGTCGGCTGTGCCAAATTTGGTGCGGCAACGAAAAACTCGCAAACGGGGTCTGCCGAAAAAATTCGCTTGTTCCTCGCACCATCATTGCAAAAGAAGTAATAACGCCGAATGTATCGAGCATCACCGGTGGCGAAATCGAGCAGATAAGCTTGGCACGCAAGTCGTGCCTGGATGGCATGAACGTTGTCGAGCGTGGATGGCATGAACGTCGTCGAGCGTGGTTTCTCCACAAGAAAGCCGCGCTCAGGCTGACGCTCCGGCAAGAGTGGGACGCGAAGTTTGCGTCTTGCGTGATCTTGGGCCCCACCTTTGTCCCCGCCCGTTTTGTGCGTCCTGGTTTCCTCGAGAGCGCGGGCTTTTTCCCCTCCGACATTTCACACGCTCTCCTGCCGTAGCGCAAGCGCGCTTTTTCAACACTGCCCTGACATCGAGGCACTAGTGCCGAATTTACTGCAACGCCCCCAGGTGGCCAGCGTGGGGCACACATTGGGTGCTAGAGCTGCGTCTGCGTTTGGCCCCGGGCAATGTGCAAGGGAGGAGACGCAGAAAATTCGGCATTACAACTTTGTTTGTGTATAGTCGCTGAATGGTGAGCATGGAAAAGACTATCTCTCAAAACGCCCGGCCTCTACCACTTGCTCGTTACCTTTCTCTGTGCTTCGGCTGCACATGCATGTTGTAGGCTCACGAGATGCTGGAGTGTTATCCGAGGTAGCGAGCATGCGCCGAAGGTGGGACAACCGGAAAACCTCCCTGCCGGTCCCCTTCTGTCGGTGGCTCCCACTGCACCCTGAACTGACCAGTGGAGTTGCAACGAGTGCAGATGGTCGTCCTCTCGTCCTTCAGGCCAAATCGACGGGCAGGAGGTGACTGCGGCCTCGGTGCTGCTGCCCCGCCCCATGCCCCCCCGCAGGCCCAGCCCACCCGCGCCCCCGCGCAGGCCGCCGGCACCGCCCCCTCACTGGAGGCGGTCCCCACCGCCCCGGCCACGCCCACCCCGCAGGTGAGTGTCGCCGGACTGCTGGCCGGCCGTACAATACAAGGCACAAACAGGCCGGTTTTCAAAAGAAAAATTACTGCTGTATTTTTATTAGGTTGTTTGAGCTATCGTATGCAGGATTGGAACAGATGAAAAACGGTGGGTTTTCATTATGTTAAGGGGAGACATGGGTCTAAATTTAAAACGTTTTTGAAAAAATTCATTTTTCAATTTTAAGGTTTTTGGTTTTGGAAACTAATTATACACCCTTACACTAAATTTCGTAACCATGCGCCAAATAGTTACGTTGATATAAAATATTTTCAGCACATTGTGAGGCGGTAACAAAGTAATGGAGTTCAATGTTTGAATGCATTTTTTCAGTCCATTTTTTGCTGCAAATTTCATACAAAGAAATCTTTCGTTTGAAAGTGAAATTTTTTGATACCACAGTCAAGATGTTTCTGAACTGAAATTTACTGGGGAATCGAGCTATCTACTTTATTTTGTTTTAAGTTAAAGTCCTTATTCAGAAAAAGCTATGTTTTTCATAAATTGTCGTAGGGCAGATATGCCTCTTATATTTTGAGGTAATCACTCTTCCTGAAATATTTACATTAGTGTTATAAAAATTAGATAGCCCGAAGTTCCACATCCCCCACTTTATATTCAAGCAGTTATAATGGTGCTTAATAGCTTCATTTGCATATCATAGCATTGTTAACGAAGAGAACATCTTATGCAGGTATGTAAAGTTGTCCTAGAGAGCTGAAAGTTTGCACAGTACACCTATATCTGAAGTTAAATCTTCCTTCGAATTTCATTCCGACCACTTGAGCAGTTTAGAAGTTCAACCTCTAGCCAGTATCCCGCTTAACACTTCACAGCGCACAAAGAACACACTATAAAAAATACATACACACAAAGAGATAACTTACGCAGTGCTGCGTGAGAGTTATTTCTTTTTGTGTATGTATTTTTTATAGTGTGTTGTTTTTGTGCGCTGTGGAGTGTTAGCATTTTTCACTAACTCGCACCGACTGATTGCGTGGCGTTGCACCATCGAGTCGTGGTGCCGCGTGATGTGACGGGTGGGTGAAGAAGCTATTCGTTTAACACAGGGGTTCTCAAACTCGATTCCGTGCAACACGGGGGCTCCGCGAGCAAGTCTCATGGGTTCTGCCAGCACCCAAATTGCAGTGCTCCCCCCCTGTAGTTTAAAATTCCACAGGCTGAGCCATGGATTGAGTTGGTGTTGTGGACAAAGCAACCTCACCCTCTGCAATAATATGTATATATATATTACACTGCACCCCAGGTTAACCCCTCTGTCTTCTTATTTGGTCCGTAGTCCTCCATTTTGTCTTATTCTGTCAGTGCAATGATAAACTCTTATCTAAACGCCTTTACTGCCCAGTATTATCGGTGGGCTTCCTTGGGACTTTTTGAGGCTTGCTGGGTTTCCCTGGGACGAAAAAGTGTGAGAACATCTGGTCCACAGTGCTGTTTCCCAACTTCAGAAATGCTTTTCCCTCTTTGCACACCAGTAGGAATAGGGCCAACAGTCGCCATTCGAAAACAGAGAAGAGGTTTGGCCACACAAAAATGCAGGATTGCTCCGGGACAGGCAGGACTAGCTACAATAAGCGTCTTTTCGAATTTCCATCACCAGCTTCTAACTTTTATATATTCTCCAAATTAAACGCAGTGGATTGAAGTATGTGTCGGTGAATAAGAGCTCTTCTGTTTGACCATGTTAACCGTGTTTCTCGCTACGCTGCAATCGCGGTAAAATGAAGAGTGCTCAATAATATTGGAGGCGTGGCCGTCCTTTCCCCGTAATCTGTCTACCAAGTTTGGAATGGCGGCGCACACCTGTGAACTAAATGCGCAGCGGTCGTCAAACATTGCTTGAATCTGAGGGGACAGGCGATGTTTCGGAAAATTTCGGTCCATGTAAGGCTCGGGATTTTGCGAGAATTTTTTTACTCCGAGATATTACTGCGCACGAATTTGAAAGCCTAGCAGACGACGAAGACCTGGCGCGGTAATCCGGTTCGTGCTTATTTCGATTGACGCGACTCCGTCGGGTGGGGCGCTTCGCCGCGTCGCCAGTTTTGGGGGAGGGGGGGGGGGCGGGGGACGCAGCCGTCATCGATGGCACCAATCGGTATTTTTCGTTTCAGGTCGCCCCCACCTAGCCGCAACAGGCCTGCAAGGTGAGTCGGCACATTTTTGCTTTTTGTACACGGCCGGGCATCTTTCGCTTGCGAGTAGAGCAGAACCTCATTTATACGCTCCCGGTCTTTAGACAAGAATAAACGGAGCTTTCAAAAAGCGATTGCACAGCCGTTGTCAACACTGTAACCTGTCCAAAGACTTTTTTAGTTTTTCGACGCCCGTGGCCACAGTCGTTCATCCTTAGCGGGTGCAAACTGCGCAGTGACTGTAGCATTCTGGAAAAGCTTCCCTACTCGAGGCATGGCACGTGGTTGATTGTAAGTCCGATACAGATGCACGAGGCTCGTGTACTTTTACACGGGATTTTCAAGGGGACGTCTTGACTGTTTGATGTACACAGTATTTAAAAATACCAGGGTTTGATATAATCGGGCTCAACTGTATTGAATTGGTACTCTACATCAACTTCACATGGGTGATGGTTGGCACGCTTACATCAATCTCACCAACTTTTGTCCACTAGCACTAATGAAAACAAAAGACGAATTGCACAAATTTGTGGCACGGGTTCACAGCCGTCGAAGGGCAAACTTGGCTAGTATAGTGTACCGTAATATACAGCGGAAGTGCTCATGTCTTCCAAGAGCCCGCTATTAACTCTTCCCAGACTTCGGAATTCTGCAAATTATACGTTAAGGGCGACACGACCCAGAAAAAACAATTTCTGCAAAGAAATGTTGATTTTGAAAAATGTCATATTTACATGCACCAACATCCCCTTGAAATCCCCGCAGGGGGCACCCGTGAAAGCAGGTGTTCGGAGAGTGGCGTCTCCACGGACCCCGAGCCATGCGGGTTCGCCCGCCCACGTATGGCTGTGCGTGGCTCTCCCGTGTCTGGGGAAAAGGGCATCCTGGTGGTTGAGCCGAGCCCGGGGCAGGGTTGGACCCTTCGGGGCCCCCCGGGCGAGGCAATACACCACTTCGGCCCCCGCTTCTCATAAACGGGAGTCCTGGTAAGGCCCGGCCAGGATGATTCAGTCTAGTCGCCATTTCTTCTACTATCCCCTCCGATCTTTCGCTTTTACCTTTCCTGTTTCTTTCACTTCCTTCTCATTTCTTTTGCTCCTTTTTCACCCCTCTTTGGCGGCGAGGGCTAACCATGGGTGGCAATAGACCTCTGTCTTGACCCACACTTGGGTATAGTTTCCCGGCAGCACTGTTAGTGTAACGTCTCCAGCCAAGCCCTTCTTGTTATGATGCGTTACCTAACCCCTTGTTGGGCTTGGTGGTGGGCGGTGCACTGCAGATTCCGAACACTCTTTGCCCTCTTATGGCGCCCCACCCCTCCAAACCCCTTTCAGGGCACGCCCTTAAAAGGCGCTGCCCCGAACGAAAAACCATCGACAAAGAATGTGAAGTAGAAACATTTACTAAGTTTTTCATTGTTCATTCGCTGGATGAACAGAAACCTGTTTCAAAGCTCTCACCTTTTATTGTAGCAAAGGTGCTAGAAAACCTTGTAGGGTTTTCCTACAAGGCTAAAAAACAGCACACTGGAGACCTTCTTGTGGAAGTGAACACAAAAAAACAAAGTGACGCACTCCTTAAACTGACTACTATCGTTGATGTGAAGGTGTCGGTGAGCCCTCATCGCACACTAAATACTGTCCGTGGAGTCCTCTCCGAGGACGACTTCCTGCACACTGGTGAGGAAGAACTCCTCGAGGGACTCCAAGGTGCCGGTGTCGTTGCCGTAAAACGCATTATGTTTAGGAAAGACGGGGAACAAATCCCTTCGAGACATGTTATTCTGACTTTTGAAAGGCATACTCTTCCTGAGACAATCAAGGCAGGCTATTTGAACTGCCGCATCCGCCCGTACGTCCCCAACCCCCAGCGGTGCTTCCGTTGCCAGCGTTTTGGTCATGGAACACGCAGCTGTCGAGGGAAGGAGACGTGTGCGAAGTGCGGTAGTCAAGGTCACGTTTCCGATACCTGCGAGGCGGCTCTGGCCCACTGCGCTAATTGCGGTGGACCACATCCTGCTTATTATCGTGCATGTCCCTCTTGGAAGCTAGAAAAGGACATCCTTTCCATCAAAGTAAAAGAAAATATATCGTACCCAGAAGCTAAGAAGCGGTTCTCCTTTTTATCAAAGGGGAGTTTTACCGAGGTGGTGCGCAGGGGCCCTGCACCATGCTCGGAGTCGAGAGCCACCCAGGTCTCTCCCGAGATCTTGGCGGCTGACTGCAGGGCCCCAGCTCCCCGACAGGAGCAGCGGCTGCTTCCTCCAGCCCCTGGTGGTAGCAAGCGTGCTGCTCCTCTTTCCAAGGACAGGTCGGCAGCAGCCGCGCCTGCCCCCTCTCCTAGGTCCCCCCCTGGGGAGACGGAGCGAACTTCTCGCTCTTGCTCGCTAGAGAGGACCCCCCTTCCAAAGGAGCAGCATGGTGCCCATGCAGCTCCTGTGAAGGGAGGGCACCGGACGAACTCGGACGACCCGTCACCCAGTTCATCTGCAACCCCTCCAGCCGGTCGTGGTCGGGGTTTGCCCCCCCACACACCTGGCCGGACAAGTGCTGCTCTAAAAACAACGGATACCTCTCAGGAGGTGGAGATGTTGACAGATGCTGACGATCTGTCCACTCCTGGGTCTGACCAGGACAATATGGAGTGGGAAACACCCTCTGGTAAACATAAAAAGAATAAGAAGCCTGTAGTCCCACCCAAGTGATGATCACATTGACTTCCACCTAGTTCGTGTCGACTCTACACTCTTACTTATTTTACTAGGTTTATTTTTCAGTTGCATATTTACATACCTTTTATAGATGACTAAGTTACATTGTATGCAATGGAACTGTCGCGGTATTTTAAGAAATATTGATGATGTCAACTATTTCATGGATCAGCTTCAACCCATCGCTCTCGCCTTGCAAGAAACCCATCTTCACAGTAATTCTTTTAACATTTTAAGACGTCATCAAGTTTTCAGAAAAAGATCGCCCCTCTTCCACCCCTTCTGGTGGTGTTGCAGTGGTCGTACAGAGGGGAGTTGCTTTGCTCTCAAGTTCCCCTCTGCACGCCACTGGAAGCTGTTGCAGTACGTCTCCTTCTAGACCGCCTTGTAACAATTGTTTCCTTATACTTGCCACCTAATGCTCCTTTAAACCTTCAAGAGCTGCAAGGACTTATAGGACAGCTCCTGCAACCGTTTTTAATTTTGGGTGATTTTAACGCTCATCATCCTATGTGGGGTAGTACCCGTCAAGACTCCCGTGGTGGTGTGATTGAACGTCTTTTATTGTCTTCGGGGCTACGCCTTCTTAATGGGAGAGAGCCAACGTTTTTTAGTGCAGCACACAACTCATTTACATCCATCGATCTTTCTATTGCTTCACCTTCATTACTTCCTTGCTTTTCCTGGAAGGTTCTTCATAACCCTTTTGGAAGTGATCACTATCCAGTTGTTTTAGAGAGTACCGTTTCATTGCCTAATCTTTTAAAGAGGGTCCCTAGGTGGAAATTAGACAAGGCAGACTGGGCACTTTTTAATCTTCACTCCACTTTAGATCCTTCGCTTCTTTCGTCTTTGTCCCCTGAGAACGCTACACTTTATGTTACTGAGCAGATACTAAAGGCTGTTCAGCAGTCCATTCCACAAACATCTGGTAATATACCCAAGAAATGTAAACCTTGGTGGAATAAGGAGTGTGCGACAACCCGGGCGGACCAAAATAGGGCGTGGGGCCGATTTCGCAGATACCCACTCCAAGCAACCTTGTTGAGTTCAAGCGACGAAAAGCCAAGGCTCATTGGACTAGGAAGCAGGCAATGCGGAAGTCGTGGATGAAGTATCTCTTTTCTTTAACCAGCTTTGTTCCAGCTAAAGAGGCCTGGGACCGATACCAGAAAGTAAATGGGGATTACAGGTGCTTTGCCATTCCAACATTTAATGCTCCTTCTTCATCACTAAAAGATATTGGTAACATACTCGGGGAACATTTTTATAATTCGTCTAGTTCGGCCCACTACAGTGTTACCTTCCGACAGTTAAAAGCTCGTGCAGAACGACAAAAGCTTCTCATCTCAAGAGAAAATTCAGCATCCTATAACGAACCATTTACGCGATGCAAGCTTGAGATGGCTCTTAGTGTGACAAAGCTCTCGGCCCCTGGTCCCGATGGAATTCATTATGAAATGCTGTGCCGCCTTTCTCCGGAGTCCCTTGAAAATCCTCTCCTGTTTTTTAATCTTTTGTGGGAAAAGGCATGTTTCCCTCAGGCTTGGAAACATGCACACATCATCCCCCTCCTAAAGCCTAACAAAGACCCCTCACAACCATCAAGCTACCGCCCAATTACACTGACAAGCTGCCTTGGGAAAACATATGAAAGGCTTATAAACAGGCGACTGGTCTACATGTTAGAAAGCCAGAGGGTCTTTGATAAAAATCAATGTGGATTCCGCCAAGGTCGATCTACCCTTGACCACTTAGTTCGCCTAGAAACTGTGATACGTGAAGCATTTGTAAACAGGCAGCACTGTGTTGCAGTTTTTTTCGACTTAGAAAGGGCATATGACACAGCATGGAGGTATGGGATTCTCCGAAACCTGTATGCCTGTAATATCCGTGGCCGTATGCTGCGAAGCATAAAGGAATATCTGACAGACAGGACTTTCCAAGTTCGTCTCGGCTCAGCCCTATCTGATTCGTTTGTTCAAGAAAATGGACTCCCCCAAGGGGGTGTTTTAAGTGTGACTTTGTTTTTGCTAACAATGAATTCACTCGCACAACTGCTGCCACCCTCTATTTCATATTCTCTTTATGCTGATGATATACAGATTTCCTCATCGTCTTGTAACCTTTCTAGTTGTGAGCGCCAGTTGCAGTTAGCCATAAACAAACTGTCCAAGTGGGCCGACGAAAATGGGTTCAAGTTCTCTGCTTCAAAAACGGTCTGTGTCCCTTTTTCTCTGCGAGGCGGGCTGCCTTTGGATCCATCCCTAGAATTGAATGGAACTCCTATACCTGTTAG